GCAGTTCAGTCTGCTGTTGAATGGCGTTTTCTAATTTTGTAAGTCTCAGCTGACTTTCTTTTTCAACTAATGAAATGTTATTATTTTTTGTTTTTCGCGAGTTTTTTTTTGATATATCTGAAAAACAGAAATTCCAGAGACAATATCTAATATATTGTTTTTATTACCTTTACCTGGAACTAATGTTACATTTTCATCATTCCTATTTGGTACGTCGTGCTGAATTTCATAATCCAGATCTACAAAAAAGAAATACCTATACCCATATATTTGAAAAAAAAAACGAATTTTATCAATGATAAATCTGGCAAGATTTTTACCTAATGGAAACTGCTCATGTCTTATTATATCATCTTCTTCCATTTCAATAACAGATCCTGAAACCATTGTTCCAAATAAGTAAGTATATATACCATATTACCATATGGATTATTATAAACTATACCTTCATCCACTGGTACTGGTGCAACTTCAGGAGAAGATGATGATTCCAAATGTTTTCCTATGAGAATAAATATATGTTATTGAAGATTTCATTATTATAGAGGGTGTTCCTCAAAGACTTCTGTATATCAAAAGTTAGGACGTTTCCCAGCCCACAGAAGCACGTCTAAAATGACGTCAATATCTGGTGATTTTTGGTCATAGACATCAGTCGATCAATAATTGACGACATTTTTGCAGTCATTTTTGTCACGCTATTGACTTGAATATATTATTAGCATGTCATTAAGGAACACCCTGTATAATATTATATGATATATTATACAGTGCTAGTCAAAAGTCCCCTCCCCCCCTCGTATCTTTTGAACGGGTATACTTATAATAATGAAATTTGGAGGGTGGAAATAAACTATTGCGTCACCTGTTATGACCAGTTGAGAAGCCTACATCCGTTTATTTCCACCATCCGAATTTCATTATTATAAGTATACCCGTTCAAAAGATACGAGGGGGGGAGGGGACTTTTGACTAGCACAGTATATTATAGCAAAATGATAAATCATTTTCATTTATTGATGTAAAAGAATAACATATTATCTCACTTTGTTCGACATATGCAGCATTGCTATCAAACTTGTTATCTATCATGAAATTAATGGTAGGAACAATTGACCGCACCATTACATTTAGCGGATCATCATCTACTTTTGAAGAAGGACCACCACCTGTTTTCAGCATTTTATTTTTGAATTCCGTATCTGACTTTCTAGTCCTAAAAATGTTCAATTATAGGTGATGAGTATTATTGGGTGAACTATATTCATATTTCCAATATATAATTGGAATGAATATCAGGTTATTACTTTTGTTTCAAATTATCCCATAGTTTTTTTAATTGCTTTGTGGTCCTTCTGGATACATCGTTCGAGTTATAAAATTGAGTAATTTTATTCCAGGCTTCATTTTTCTGTTGGATCTGTATAGCATCGGTTTTTTTATTTTCCAATATATTCTTATATTTCTCCACCAAAGACATAAGCAGAACCTTCTCTCTTACGGAGAATACTTTTCTATCAATATCACTCATCTGTAAATTTGAAAAAATCATCTAGTATCAGTCTTTAAGTCTACAGAATCAAAAATTTCCACTTACCTCGCTTTTTCACTTTCAAATTTGAATTTTTGAAATATTGACACAACACGGCACGAAACAGAAATCGACATAAATCAGCAGAATCTGGTCACAGAACAATAACACTAACATTGAACACTGTTGCCAAATGTAAGGATTCCTTACACAAGGAGCACTTGAGGAATGTTTATAAAACAAGTCATTCCTTCAAGTGCTGAGGAATCCTCAGATAAGGAAGCCTTGAGGAAGTCTTGAGGAAACGACTATAAATATGGGCCTGTGTATCGCCTCTGCCTATCCAAGAACTAACGAGACGCGTATGCTACCACCTGGCGGGTACCCTCAACTACCTGAAAAAGAATGGCAGCTATGCCTACATCACTGGCGTCTGATTGTACGTGCCATGTTAGGGCAGTCTAGATGGTAGAGCAAGACTTCCTTCTGGATCCCCTTCCCTAATATCCTGAAAATCCTCTTCCTGGCGAGGTCCCCAATTCCATGGCATCTTCGTTTTCAGAAGCTGAGTTAGAGGTACAGCCATTTCAGCAAACCGATATGCAAAAATCCTATCATATATTGACTGAGTCCCAGAAATTTTTGGAGTTGCTTGGTCTTTCGAGGAGTAGTATAATCTACTAGCTTGAACCTACTACTCTACTATACTCTATCTCACCGGACCGTAGTCTATCCCCTCTACCTCGACGCTGACGTCACACTATAGTAGGTTGAGATTTCACATCATTTCATATCGGTGCTTTCTTAATTGGAAGGTTATAGCTCATTTGCTTTAAAAATTAAAAGCACACTCTATCGAGACGAATTGATCCCTGATGAACTACCCAACTTTCGGTGAAAAAATAAATTCATTAGGATGAACCAGTACCAATTTATGATGTTGTGAAGAAATTCAATTTTAATGAAAATCAGGACGTTGTACTACGGAATACTATTTCTGGCCAATTTGGAATCGGTTTAAAATGAAACTGACTGAGTATGTCAAACTAGGATAATGCATCAATTAAATAGTGAGAAAATCATTGAGCTACCTACGATGAGTCCGAAATAAAGAGCGCGTAAAAATTTGTCTAGTATTATACCTACCTAATTTCCCCGTATTAACGATTTCGCGGTAATTCTCTATAGGTAAAGGGCAATAATGCACGTTTTATTACTCATGTTTCAGTTGTGGGTCGTCTTTTGATATTTTGACAACTATATTCAATATTGTGTTGAATAATTAGGTATATTAGATATGAAATATAGCGGGATTCAGTCAAATAATAAGAAAAGAAGAATCATCAGACTTTCCGGATGAAAATGAAGCTTTGAGCCCATTTTTAGTTTGTGATATATATATTTTGTTATAAGTACATGTTATTTTGTGATATCTGGCTATTTTTCTCTTTCATTATGTTGAATATTTTCAGAATGGCTTCGTTTAGTATCGTGTATGTATGAGAACTACTTATTTTTTGTTCGTTTTAATTTTCATATTTTTAAAATGTTTTCAAATTGATTCATCTTCATCAATATGAGATTATTTCTAAAATATATACTCCATAGCTGAAAATAGTTAATTTGCTGTCAGGGTTTCTGCGGAATTACGCCATATTGGATCCGTCATCTTGAATTTTCAAATTTTGACTAAACCTTGACTAAACAATCATTATCTCCTACCTCCTCCCAAAAACCCCCAGATACCAATGTTGAATAGAATCGGATCTTCATTACGAAACTCGTCCACCATATTGGATCCACCATCTTTAATATCCCAATTTTGACGAAATTATTATAATCTTCGAACCCGGAAATCCCCAGATACCAATTTTGATTTTTGTATAGAATCGGATAATAATTACAAAATTCGTTCGCCATATTGGATCCTTTATCTTGAATTTTCTAATTTTGACACAAACTCATATGAACTTCGACCCCGAAAACCCTCATAGATACCAATCTTAAATAGAATCCGATCCTAATAAGAAATTTCTTTCGCTATATATTGGATCCGTCATCTTGAATTTGCCAAGTTTGACGAAACAAGCATTATCTCCAACCCCGGAAAACCCCAGATACCTTCCAACTTTGAATAGAATTGGATCATAATCACAAAACTCGTTTGCCATATGATCTTCCTCAACAAGTAAATACCCTGTACTTGCCCTGTACATACCTATTATTGAAATTTTGAATAGGTCGCGTGCACGATGACCGACCCTGGAGGTAAAATATTGAAACACAACCTCTTTCTTCTGTAAATTATTGAAACACAACCTCACTTTTTTATTTGGTTACAGAGGAATCAAAGGTATGAAATAGTTTTTCACAATATTTTGGCATACGAATCGTGTTTTTTGCGATATTCATTAATTCAAGCATGCCTTCGCATTGTGCTGTTGTACAATGCACAAAAAATGCAGCAAGAGACTAAGGAATATGATTTTTCAGGTAAATAGTAATCTCACATAGTTATCATTATGAAATGTTGTCATTCCTTATTAAAATTCCTTCTGCCTTCTGCCACTCCTGCAATACAAGCTAATACTGCTAATAGATTGAAAATGTCTACAACACACACGATCGTCAGCATGTCAGACCAGTCCTCCCGATTGATTGCATGAATCCAATCTTCTTGCATTATTTTAGAAATTTCAGGTGTATTTCTATAAGCTCCTATCGCAGAAGGAATTCCGATGAGAAATCAGAGAAATTACCAAATTTAAAAAATTAAAACTATAGGTGAGTGACTATTAGTAGGTACTTACTTTTAAATCATAATGTACCATCCGGATTCCTTCATCTTCCGCTGCAGTTTTTGTGCATTTTACAACAGCACAATGTGATGGTATGAGCGAATTGATGAATAGCGGAAAAATATGATTCGTATGCCAAAATAATTGTGAAAAACTATTTCGATCACTTGTAAACAAATGAGAAAAGTGACATTGTGTTTCAATGTTTTGCCTCCAGTGTCGGTCATCTGACAGTTCTTGCACGCAACCCATGATTTTCTGTAGCGCCCATGGATGTGACGTGACAGCAATGTCAGGGATGCCAGTAGACACAAATAGCCTTGAGTAAAGTCTCTAGATCATTAAAAAAGAATGCAGCTATGATCTGTCTGTCATATACTGTTTGTACCCTTGGTTTGTACCCTGTTAAGATGACGTTGACGTCAATTCCCATCAAGGGACCCTAGTATCTATCACTTCCGGTGATTTTTTTGATTTTGGAATTTGGAATGAAAAATCAGCAGATTCAGTACTGTCAGTTGAATTCGGAATATAGCCCATAATAGTCATATTCGGTTCGTTCGCGTTCGAAAAATAAACAGTCCGAAACCATCAGAAGCATGCGCAGTTCCACGGTATGTTCCACTGAACTTAATAAATTCGTACTGTTCTGTGAAATTACGCAGTACGCAGGTTTCGGACTGTTTCTATTTTGAACGCGCACAATATCATTGTCATTGTCATGATGTCATGATATGTCATGATTGTCATGTCTTTTTTATGTCATGCCAAGGAAGAAATTGTGATATCAATACATTATTAATTGATTTCGTTAATATATCAAATTTGCAGTGATTAGTGAACGGTTCGCTATTGTGTGGTTCAAGAAATATAAATCAAGCCTTTAACATAAAATGTCTACACCCGCTCGTCGACGCCTGATGAGGGACTTCAAAAGGTGTATTTTTGATATTGCAGTTAACTCATTATGATATAAATATCTTTTGTTTTCTGGATATCCTTGAGAAAGTGCTTTGCCAATGTAGTTATAATGAAATATTTTTAGATTGCAAGAGGATCCCCCTACTGGAGTCAGTGGTGCACCCACTGATAACAATATTATGATATGGAATGCAGTTATTTTTGGTCCTCATGATACCCCATTTGAAGATGGTACATTCAAACTAACTATTGAATTCACAGAAGAATATCCAAACAAACCACCTACAGTTCGATTTGTTAGTCATATGTTCCACCCTAATGTGTATGCAGATGGGGGTATATGTTTAGATATCTTACAAAATCGGTGGAGCCCTACATATGATGTCTCTGCTATATTAACTTCAATTCAAGTAAGTAACATCAAGTAGACATGAAGTAGGTCATTCATAAAAATATAATCTCAAATCATAAAGTCTTCACAGCAGTGGCTTATTGTGCAGGGTTTTTAACTATTACTTTAACCTTCCACCATTATGCATTTTAACTATTCTAACCACTGCTTGGACCCTGCTCCTTTTGTATTAAAAATGATTCTCAATGAAATTTTCTGTATTTTCAGTATGTGATAAATTGATTGATATCCCAATTCACATAGTTCCTCAATGGACAGATTTTGGAATACAGGACATTGAAATTACAAATCAGTAGTTATTATTTAATAATTCTCTTTGGGTTTGAAGTGTCAAGAGCATTTCTTTTTATGCTCCTATCATGAACATATCTTCATACAGGGTCCATATAAATGAATACAGGGTCTCTATAAATGATCAAAGCATTGCAGTGATCCTTGAAATATTTTATTGATTCCCTGCTTTCCACTTATGGAGATCAATCTATAACAGGTTTGGTTGGGTAGCATCAATCTTGGCTTCAATGCCTGTCAACAACATAAACAGAGAGCTGCACTATATCAATGGCCACTACCATGCTATGATCATTTATAAACCCTGTATGTTTTTATAATTTTCAGATGATTCAGATATTGTCACATTATTCACAGAGTGAAAAAAGATTTGTGATGTGTAAAAATTCAATGTGAGTGATGATGAAATACAATATGTTTTAATTTCCACATTCACATTACACTATTTCTAAAAAATCTTGACTACTAGGCAATTAAGAATGATCAAATATTCTCAACTTTACATGCAAATGGTAAGTTTCCTGGAATAATATCTATGGAACCAGTCATAGTAGCAAGATGAAATCATGAAACATTGTTTCAGATGGAATGATGAACATATTATAAAATAATAATTGAAGGATTTCACCCAGTGAATTTATAAATTATGAATTACTGGGTGATTTCAGAAATGTTGATAATTTGTCATTTTCATTGTTGAAAATTTTACTGATCATCCTCACCCTATAAATCCCAATGAAATTATGACCAGTCAGCATCAGCTGTCATTGAAGAAAACAGTTCTCTCAAACATACAGAATGTGCTCAAAAGAAACAGTAAAATTATTATGAGTCACTAATTTTTTAATTCACCATGTATGGATTGTGATTCATGAATTAATAAGAATAGACAATAGGTCATTGCATGGCAATATAATTTCCTCAATATTTTTAAATTTTAACTGGAATATTTTTATCTTTCACTCTGTAAATAATGGCAATACCTGAACTATCTAAATAATATAAAGTTATGTTGATATTAGAACAAAATGATGCAACTGCTGCCATATAATCTCAATGTCCTGTATTTGTCTAATAATGAACTCTGTGATTTGACATATTCATTCAGAACATCAGATACACAATTTATAGAAAATTCAGAACACTGAGAATATTCAATAAAAAGTGACAACTTATGTTAATGCACAAAACTAATTTGTTTTAATTGGTACGAGATGGATCATTGAATATTTCTACTCAAACAAGTTATCAACATAGAAATAATTTCTCTTTTTGACATCAATATTTGTAATGAGGAGGTACATATTGGTCATTCAAACATGATTTCATGTATAAATATTTGATGGACCTATGTACTCATTTGATTTGAAGAATGACCACAGTTGATTTATTTCTGGATTGAAAATAAATTGAAACTGGTGTGTCTGAGACATAATCAGGAATATTTACACTAACCATACTATCTTTGAACTATTTTTGAACGTCCGGCAACATTGCAGAACACATTGATACATGCTTATGGCCACACAAATGCAAACAGTCACATTCAACTGTTGGCCTTTAAACATGTTTTAATCAAGATCCAGAACTTTGAAATTCAATATCTCCCAGAATAATCTATTTTGGAAACTCCAATATTTCTCCTGAAAATGCAATCAAGATAGAGCCTTCAATATGGCGGTCTGGCGGACGAGGTTGTCATTTTTTGTCCAATACACTTGAATATGCTTATTGGGGGAGGGGATGATGGGAAGTCTAGGGGGCCACAAATTTTTAAAGAAAAATCAAAAAGCTCTCAAGATGGCGGATTTGTTTTTGTCATTTTATTTGATTTGCCTGAAAATATAAATATTGGAGTTTTTGTGATCAATTAATACATTTATGATTATGTCAGAGTGGCATCAACTTCTGTCTCATCTACCAATAATCATTATTGATGGAGAGGTAGGGAGGAAATGATGCAAAACTTGATATTCCAATGTGACCACCTATTTCCATTTTCCCAATAATTTGTTGTGTAAATTTCAGTTTGAAGTTGATAATTTGCGTTTTTATAATAGTTTTGTATGGTTTTCATGAGGTCATCCATGCATTGTATTCATTCTAGCTTTATTTATTTATAATAAGTGTTTGTAGTGAGAGTTTCAAGACATTGTTCATTGTTTTTTTTTCTAGCAGTATAATTTGTTTATGATGTTTGGATATCATAATATACACAGTGAATTGTTTATATTTATAATATCTGATTGTGGGATATTCTGCCATTAATTGTTTTATGTTCTTCTTTCCATTTGTTTTCATTTTTTCAAACTATAACTTTTCTGAACTATGACTGTTGGAAAGAAATGTTGTGTTTGAGGAGGAAAGGATAACCAAAAATTATCTTCTCACAAGTAAGTTTGGATGCATTTTCCCATCTATTATGAACTACTTGATCTCACTTCACCCCTAGGCAATTGACATGATTTACACTTCAATTAAGTACCTACATCATAAAGGAATGAATTGAACAATTAAAATTCATTCTATTATCATTTATCAACAGCCACCATAACTATTATTGTGGTGAGGCGGACGCTCTCCAGTGATTAAATAGGGGGAACTCCTTTGAATATCATCTGATGATTTTTTTAAACCCCCGATTGGTATTTACCGAGGTATTTACCATGATAACTAACATTAATATTAATAATGCATAATCCATATTCTTTTAAGTGATTTGTTTTTTTCATCAAGATATCAGGAACTGTTTGACTGAAATATGAAACTGCTAAATTGTTCATGAGCTCAAAAGTTGAACCGCCATCTAAATCATTATGATGATCTGAAATGAAAATTATTGTGAGTGCAGAAATTGGAAATCTAAATCATCAACTAAATTAATAAAACAAGTATTCCGTTTCTTATTGGCACAGAAATATTTCTTCCAAATAATCAAGAGAAGGCAAATTGCATGCTTCACAACTTCAAAAGCTGGCATCTCAAAAACGAAGAAAGATATAGGAAATTTGTTCTTCCAGAAATTGATAACCTTATTTTCGAATTTTTTGCTACATGTGTTATTCACTATACATCATGCCTTTCTGTCGAAATAATTTTTTATGGCGCTTTTATAAGGCAAAGTGTTAGTATTTGTAAGCTCAATAACTATCCCACTTTGGAATTTTTGCGAAATATTTTTTAAAAGAAACATCTTCCCTTCTGGTGAACTCAGCGGAGCCATTTTTGAAAGGGTTATATTTTTTTCCGATTCGATACATTGGGATTTCTAGGCTAATTTTAGGCTAATTAATTACCCTATTTCCAAATTTTTTGCTCTACGATTTTAGAAAAAAAAAACGAATTGATTTGTTGATATTTGCGATATTAGTATTATGTGTTTCTATCGAAAGCAGTTTTTTTGACGATTTTATAAGGCAAAGCAATAGTATTGATTATAGGCTCGAGTACTATCCCGTTTTGGTATCTTTTTTTGCATATTTTTTGAAAGAAATATGTGGCTTTGCTGACTTTGGGTAAACTCAGCAGAGCCATTTTTTAAAACAATATATTTTTCACTGATTTGATATATCCATATCAACACTAATTAATTTTTTGCTGAACAAAAAAACACAAAATAATTCGTCGAAGTACGCCTTATTCACTATACATTATTATGCATTTCTCTCAAAATCATATTTTATGACGATTTTATGTGTATGGCGTGATCGCGTGATCCTACCTTAGAACTATGCCACTATGTATGGCGTGATCGCGTGATCCTACCTTAGAACTATGCCACTAGATGGCGATAACATGACTAGAACCTCATGTATTATCCGGCGTCTTCGAAATGGGTGATATACCCGAAGGCGTGAGTTGTCCCATTTGTCAGCAGACCGAGAGCGGCTGATGAGGCCTGGTGGGCCGAAATAGTTCATCCTAGATCTCTTAGTTATGAGATCTAGTTCAAAAAATCAGAATATTCATGATCATTTATATTTGTCCAAGTGGAGTGTAGTGATTGCAGCAGAGTTCAACCCATTTCAGTAGAAATAATTTCCATTTGTCACCATGGCGACACGATACATGTGCATACAAATTCGGTATCTTGACTGTTAGTAGTCATATCGCAGCAACCCGAGAATGTAGGGTCAGTTGCTCGCCTGAAAACGCTTCTGCTCAATACGCAGGAATCTCCAAGCTGTCGTTCATGGCTTTGGCGTGGTATCGATGTCAACCTAGCATCCATTTTGTTCATAGGCGGCGGCAAGGTGGATGGCGTCGGCTTACCTAAGTGTTTTGTTTATGTCATCAGGGGTCGGCCTAATCAAAATAAAATCAAAATTGAGTGGTGATATTAATTTTTTCGTTTTATTTTCGCCAATCCTAGGAAATATGAAGTGAAGTTGAACAAGTATTTACATCAAATTGAATCATGCATGTTTTGTATATTCATACAGCTGTGAAAAATTTGAGTTCAGGCGTGAGGTGCCATACCTGCTCATCTATTTTAGACGATTTTGGATTAAAAGTTTACTCATTCAATAATGATTCTAGAATTCCTAACAATAAGAGAAATGAATAATTTGAGGCTATTAAGAGACCGTCGGACCTTAATCATTCAGGAAGGATGATTATGTTCAGACCATTTTACGCCAGCAGACAACTTTCTGATGCTTCCAGGCAAATCCTGGAAATACTGAATACGGCATATTTCATTCGTTTCTCACTACTTTATGTATGGTTTATCAACCTTCTATAGTAGACCCCTCCCAACCTTTTTCCTTCGATACGCCTATGTTCCTCGGATTCATGAGTGTAACACGACAGATCCAAAATGCGCATGAACCAGTTTCACCAGTTCGATTTATTGAGTGGCTCACATTTTTCCTTATAGAATTGGCGGTCTAGATTAGTCTATGAGTCCGTGGGCGGAAGGCGGGAGGTTCCGTATCTGGACGATGGATGATCTGTGGTAGAGTGCTGTAACACTCCACACTCTGAGTTCAGAATTTGAAAAAAATTTGAAACAAAAAATATGAAAGTTTATACTTATTGATAGAGGAAAAAATTAGCAAATAAGCTGTTGATAGCAACAAGTACAAAAAGCAGATTTAAGCGGCAAGGCAGGTAACCTTTCACTGAAAAATAATTGTATATGATTTATTGTATTATAAATCTGCAATTTTACAAAAATATTGTTATCAAGTGTTAATAAAAGATATGACGAACTCAAGTATCGAATAAATTGATATCGATGACCAACTATTACATAAGAAACAATCAGTTATATATCAACTCGAAGGCAAAGATAATATGCAGTTATCTCTCTTAAATATGAACTTCAATCAAAAATATATCAATTAATATTTAATTCAATATGTAATACTCAACTCTAACAAACCAAATGTCAGCGATGACTTGTTATTTCATTCGAAATATAAAGATAGATCCAGACCTACCAGATATTTTTCAATCCACCACCTATCACTTCAACCTTTCCAAGTCGGTAGATAATTATATCAGAAGGACTTTGATTTTCCTATTCGTTCTTCGCGAAAGATCCTGTCAAATCAATTCCTTCACCTGATTGGTTATTTAGTCTCCCTTCTTCGATCTTCTGTGTCGCTGTCTAGCGGGAAGGACGAGCGCGCAAGACTTGATAAATTCGATATGGTTATTGAACCGGTGAAGGGCTGATAAGCGGAAGTAGATAGAAGAACGAATGGACGTCAGATAATTAAATGGTTGATTGATTGAAAAACATCTCAATAGAACGGAATGATCGTTACAGTGCCTCGAACATCTAATTTCACGCTCTTCAAAGAGTGTGGACACACTTGTCATATTGTTAAACAGCTGAACAAAAAAAATGAGACACAAATATTGAACGAGTGCACACATATTTTCATTCGAAACCCTAACATTGGCGTAACACCAAAGTCACGTAACGCTCAATGTGTAGTTATGTCAATGAATGCATATCAATGAAATACATATAGGAATTTGATGAGCTTCAACTAACACTTGAAATGTCATCTCGTCTTTAGGCAGTTACTTTGGCAATAAAGTTCAACAATTTTTTTTTCGACTGCACCTTTCATGTTACAGCAGGAATTTGGATAGCTCCTCAACAAAGAGAAAAACCTAACGTGAACAAAAGATTCTTTTCGGGCCTCCACGGTTCTTGCTCCAGCAATATTTCGCAACTTTTTTATTACGATCTCTGCCGCTTTCTTATTTTGGTATAAAAAGGAAGGAGAAAGAAACAAAACTACGAATTCAAAATAATCTTTCTGGGCGTCCAGGGTCGCTTTTGCTCCAGCAATATTTCACAACTTTTTAAAAAGGAAGGAGAAAGAAACAAAACTACGAATTCAAAATAATCTTTCTGGGCGTCCAGGGTCGGTTTTGCTCCAGCAATATTTCACAACTTTTTTATTACGATCTCTACCATGTTAACCATCATTCTTAGAAATTTTACAAATCGTTACCGAACAAGATATTGAAAACATTTTCGCGGGGACGCCTATTCAATTTTCAGAACTGACGTTTCAAGTCTGAGAATGATGACAATTCGGAAATGTCAGTGGTGACAAGTGTGTCCACACTATTTGAAGGGCGTGAAATTAGATGTTCCAGGCACTCTAATCTGTGGCATTACATTATAGATTCGATTTCTAAAATTAATCACAAAATTAACGATTTTTTCCAGTCTCTTCTAAGTGATCCAAATCCAAATTCACCAGCGAATTCTATGGCTGCACAGTTATACAAAGAAAACAGAAGGGAATATGAGAAGCGAGTGAAAGCTTGTGTAGAGCAGAGTTTTATAGATTAGCACTTTTGCCTAAACATTTACCTGAGCTTTTCCACTATTGTGCTTCAAAATGTTGGCTATACATACTTTTTCATTTTGAGTTGCAATTCCGATACCTAGGATTTTAATTTTCTGAAAATAAAACAATTTTTTCGAGAATTAATGTGAGTATATTAGATTGTGCGTGAGTGCTTTCCTGTATATTTGTAATGGATTTTTCTGTATTGAGTCAACTGATTTTCTGCTAAGACATACCAGTGAAATTCAACCAAAAATAACCTTATGTATGTCTATAAGTCCCATAAGTCATGGATCCAAAGTGGGATGGTAGGTAAGACAATTTCCAATCAAACTAACCGTATATGTGGTTATCCAATTGTTGATGGTTCAAAAGTTATTATTTCTATAATTATTATTATTATTATAAAATTAATTACAATGAAACTGTGTCATATTTATCATTTTTTCTTCAAGAATTTTCATCCGCGTGGATATACCATCTCCCGAAATCATTTTTATGGTCTGTGTTTTACTTCCTATCAATCAAAAAAAATTTGTTCTCCTTAAGTTTCGGTGAATGAAATATTTAATTCAGTTGATTTCAATGTCGCTGGCAGATTGAAAAACTACCCCAGAAAGATAACCAACTATGGAAGAGCAGTTGCCTTTCTCCTTGAAAAGATGTGACTGAATTCTTTTCTTTAATGGATGAAGACATTATTATTATTATTAAAAAAGTTGCCCCTTTAATACAGATTCCAAAATGGTATAACGTATAACATACGGGGTTATTCAAAACTGCCTTTTTGTAATTAATTTTTTTCAAATGGGTCGTGTTTTTTCAGAAAAAAAACTTTTGAACGGTATACAATTGGATAACCACATATAGGGTTAGTATGATTGCAAATTACCATCTCTACTACCCCACTTCTTTTGATTAATGACTTATGGGATACCCTGTATTATTATATTTTCATGGAAACATCAATAGACAGCTAAACAATAACTATGAGAGGGACATGTTTTCACGTAAAAATCACCTTGCTCGTTTCATTCCCTTTGCCTCAAATGACCTTGTTGGTTGTGTGGCACCTCATCGGAAAGATTTTTCAATTCTCTTAACGCCTGTGTTTTCATTTTTGAAATCAAACTATGAGTATGCGAAATATCGAAGGAAACGTTTGAGAATATCTTCCCTAAAAAGTTGCTATAAAAAAGTCAACCGTACATTTTTTGTGCGCATTTCTCACGACTCCAACAATGTTCTAGTGTTTTATTGAAACATCCATATTGAATAGATTTTTCTTATTTTTTCCATGTCAACAAAACTAGTTGCTTCATTTCAACAAAAAAATTCAAGAGTTTAGACACGAGCGTATCGTACTTTTCCAATGACCCAGGACCTACGACCCCAACAAACTTGGGGGTGGGCATTGGGTAAAAGGTTGATGCAACGAGATAAATAATGTTTACGTTGAACTATCCACCGAAGAGTCACTGCTCACGTGTCTCGGCCATTTTCTGTGCAACTTTTTAGATACGGTATTCTCAAACGTTTCCTTCGATATTTCGCAAACTCATCGTTCGATTTCATATATGAAAACAGGCGTTTAGAGAATTGAAAAGTCTTTCCAATGAGGTGTCACACAACCAACTATGCCATCTGAAATTTTTGATGGGGTGGCAATGGGGATGAAACGAGCAAGGTGGTTTTTACAAACAGGTCCCCTGCTCATAGTTATTGTTTACCTAATGTTTTCAAATGAACACACGGTATACATCAGTATGTACAGTATACTTTCCAAGTGGATCGTCAATAATTTTGAGTATCTTATTTTTGTTAAAAGCTTTGAAAATATATCTCATTTATATTACAGAAATGTTTAGTATCTAATCCTTTTTTGTTGGGCTTAATATCACACTCTGTCTCCATACTGCCTACCTTGTTTAGGTGGTTAGTTGTCTAGTTACATTACTATACTAAACTTAATAAATTATTACAATTATCAATGTATGTTATTGATGTTTCCCAGTATCCCAGTAATTTATAACAATTCGTGTAGAAGATATTATAGATTATGATGAATTTTTGATTAGACAGAGACACTGCTCAATATTTGTAGAAATTGAAACATATCAGTCTTCTATTTCTGATAAAAGTTCTTGTATATATATACATTATTTTATGTTCACAAATGCTAATATTTTGATAACTTAATGATTTATAGAGTTTCCTGAAGTGCCTAATTCTTTCACATCTTCATAGCCTACTTACCTATATTGAAAATGAAACTGTATTTACCATTATGATTTAAAACGAGTTGTTATTGAAATATCTTTATTGAGCAGACCTGCTGCTTATCTCTGTGCAGTCACATATTGTATCAAAATACATTTTTGATGATAAATAGGTACGAATTTGGATACTTTTGGGTCACACGAGCCCAAGGTTAAAGATCAGTACGATGTAACGATATGATAAAGATAAATCTTGAAACTGTATTGGCACTTGCATGCGACACAGTTTGGAAACATGCCATATGATTAAAATGTGTGAAACAATTTGCATAATTAGTCTTGAGCAGATTTCAACTGCAAGTTGTCAAAAGAATTCGGGATGCCATCAAATACTTGAATCAGACATATCATGCATTGCAATCGATATAGGCACGTTCGATAATTCGGTGGGACAAATCGAATATTTTTCATAAATTTTCGAAAAAATTGCCATTGACTCAAAAACAAATTTCTGACATATTTAATGAGATATTTCACACATTTTTAGTTCTAGCTGGAACCGTGATTTATGGCCGAAAAATATTATGGTTGAAATGAACTGAGGAGACCAGCCGTGTGACGATCGTCACAGGTCCGACCGAGTCAGCAATCACCATAGCGTTTTTTAAATCGGTGTTCATTTTAGTGCTTTTACAATTACTAGGGTATTTTCTCTGAAAACTTGGATCCAGGGTAAACCACGAATCACTCTCAAAAATTAATGAACCAAAACAAATTTTCCAGAAAATAGCCCTCGTCAACTTTATTCCTTCTGAAAAAAAAAAAAAAAAAAAATGAGTCAACTGATTGGACTGAGGCCTTGACAATGACTTGACTTTTACCAGCAATCCGTCGTCCATGACATTAACCTGTCGGTCTTGGTACCACCACACATCGCATCCTTTCCCCCTTTATTTTGAGACTGACAGCTAAGCTGGTGGGGAAAGAGGTGACTCGTTGGTGTTATAGTCACTTTTGAAAAGAGTAAAAATATGTATAGCCATTGTATTCCTGCACATCAAGATTCAACACAGCAGAACAGGAGAAGGGAGCTAGTCCGCTTAGAGAAAGGTGAGCTTCACCCACGTTATAACAAACGATCCATCGCTACGTTGTTCATAAGCAAACACATCTCCGACATGACATCTTAGCGATGAGGCGATATTACCAATGTTCCATCGCTGCGATGTACAGGAGCAAACATATACGACATGACATCTCTGAGATGTGATAATGCAACACTTCGATATTACGAATGTTCCATCGCTGCGATGTACAGAAGCAAACTCAACTGCGAGAATTTTTCAAAAAATTGTTATCAAAATTCTTGTTCGGTGAAAAAAAAAACGAATATACGTTACTCAACAAAGTGAAGCTGAATTCGCAAACATTCGTTACATTGTTATATAGAACTATTCTTGGTTTGCTTACATCTCGCCGTCACACACTACATGATTTTTAATACATATACGAGTAACTGATCCCATTCTGATAGAGATTCGTAGATAATACTGAGGATACCGCCGCTGAAAAGACGATTGAATGGACAGGAGACCCGAGGGACCATCAAACCAGTCACAACAACACAAAATCAATGTTAGATTTCATCAAAAGCCAGTGTTTGTACCTACTTATCACACCATGTTTGTGGAAACTTATTTCGTTTCACTGCGATTGTCGTCTCTCATCACATCGTAATTTTATCGCAAAAACACATCGCTTTTTCATCACAAATAACATATCGCAGTTACATTGCAAAAGAAAGATCGCTGTTACATCGCAAAGAACTTGTCGCAGCAACGTCGCATGGATGTAACTTGAGTGGGACAATATAACATCCTTCTGACATCGCAGCGACATCTATGCGATATCGCAGGTCACAGTTGTTACATCGCTGCCATATCTCTGTGATGTAACTGTGTTTGCTGGAAAAGGAAAATTGACATTTTCTGACATATCTACTGGCTTTGCCGTATTTCCAGTTTAACCGGAAATGACCCCAACTTTCGATTTTCAATTGGGACACTATATTTTATTGCGTAATCGGTTATTAGGGATTGTCATAAGAATTCAACGATACCGGGTTTGACAAGGTTATTTCAAACGATTACGAAGATATTTGCATTCGAAATGTTCATATGCTCAATGGCTGTGACAGCCCAGCGAGCACAAAAACATCTCAGTGATGTTGTTAAAAGTACAAAATACGTCGAGACATTGAACTTCCACTGCAATGTCCTGTTCACACATGAATAGAACTTGCATAGAACAGGCAATGTCCGCCGCAGGCGGCGTTTATAAAGATATCCTTGGGATGGTTTTTTTAATAGCCTTTTCATGGACCCAACATAACTTTTCTAAAGCGTTTTGCGCACATTTAATCGCTGCAAATAAACCATTCCTCTGGTGGGTACCTATATTATAGAAAAAACTTTTGGAATATTTTGTGTCGAAACTATTTGTTAATGGTCGAAACGGCTCTCATGTCCCTCTATCATAACTTTTCATTTACCATCAATTGATATTCAATTGGAACAGATAGAAAGGTGATCAGAATTTTGAATTATAAACCACCGCCTATATTTGTTTCAGTTGAATGTCAGTAGATAAAGTAGGTAAATCAAAAGTTGAGATAGGGACATGGAAGTAATTTTTACCAATAATTAATGAATAGTTTCGACACATAAAATTACTAAATTTGAAATATCTCGATTTTTCATACCCTATATATATATATACATCATTCCCGCTAGATCCCAAAGTGTGGTAGATCGGTGGAATCCGCTCTTCTGGGAGATTCCAAAAATACAATAAAATACAAGGTGTTCCATTCGAAATAACAAAGTTATTGCTACTTTTCGATAGAAGCGGCAACGCCACACCGCTGACATTAATTTCGATCAACAGAACGGATTACTGAAGAAACAAAATTTTCAAAATGATCTTGTGTCCCGAATGCAAATTTCGCTTGTCAAACAAAGTGTCACTTTTGATCCTATTAAAACAATCTACTATTTTTTGATATAATACCCTTTTCTCATGTTCATAACATATCTGAGCATAAATTCCTGCATACAGTCCAAAAACAATTAAGCCCTTAAATTATCTTCCTTTCGGAAGGAAGTCAAATTAATGCTGCTTGAGAAGAGGCCTACTATAACTTATACCAGGAATATTTATCATGAGTGAGATGTGTATTTTGAGGATCAGTTGTTGTGAACAGATGTATTATTTTGGTGGTGTAAGATGCATTTTATTCATATGATTCATTCAAATTTTACATTTTCAACCTCCCCTTAGTATTTATCAATCTGTTGCTGTAATTTAAACAAAAAACGTCCAAATGGACAAGTAGTTCTGACGATAATGTTTCCTAAACTTTTGGCTACTTTTTGGTGGTGCGTTTAATATCTTGGAGAAGTCTACATACAGTAGGTACATCGCAAATGAAAGACATTATTCAATTATGATTTATTCATTATGGGTGAAATCTACAGGGTTATTGATAGGTCACTGAAACTTAACTTTTTTTACAGTTCAGCACTACAATCAATAAAGAAAAGTTACAGAGGTGTACATGGCACCTGATAATGATTCATTGAAAAAATACAAATGGGTTATTTATTCTGGAATATAAACTTAAATTATCGGAATATCGGATTCAGATCGTTCGATCGTACTTTGGTAAAGATTATATACATCACAAAAGCATATAATTATAACTCATCGATTCAATATATACAAATAAATAATATACATTGCTACTGCAAGCTGTAAATAAACAATGATATAAGTAAAACAGGAACCTATGAATTTCCAATCAAAAGGCCACCATCACAAATATCTGGTATATTTTTACACAATTTAATTCTTGAATACTTCACTTCTAAATATATAATAAATGTTGTATACTTTTACTTACTATATTAACTAGATAACACTCAGCAAAGATCTTGAAAAGCTCTGATATTAAAATTAAATTATCACATTGCCAATATTAGTGGAAAATACCATAAAACAAAAAACATGAAATGAAAAGACGAGAAAATAGACCCGAACTAAAATAGTGGAAAAGAGAGAGAGAATCTTTCTGAAAAACCTTCAACATTCACAATGGCAAAATATGGCTAAATATACATAACATCAGTGACACCCAATCATCTAATGCCAAATTTACAAACTATGAATTGAAATTATTGTTTTGCGATCAGCAATTGAATAACTTTATAGATACCTACCTACACCTATCAAGTTTCTATGCCTCAATGCCTGTATAAGGTCTCATTTGTAAAATGATGTTTACTATTCGAATATAGGTGTCCATCAAATTAACCATGTGAAGTGAAAACATTTATCACAGAAACGTAATCAGTCATATTTTGTCATGTCTAGATTGTTCAGGTCAAGAAAACCAATAAAAAAGTGATGAAAAGATATAGCTATTACTACAGATAATTCGAGCTAAGGTTGGTTCCTCGGGGTATTCCAAAAATACTGGGCCCACGCCAGATGCTCTGGTGTGCAAAAAAAAACTAAAATGGAAGATCCACCCACCATGTAGGTATCTACTGTGCATTTATTCACCACAATCAAATTTGAGAAGGACTCATCAAACCATCAGTGGCAGTGCAAAAAACAGATAACTGTACCAGGAAATCTCGATGCGTGTTGTAAAAGAGGTTAACATGCAAAGGACAGCCGATTGGATATGTTTTGTTAGTAAAAATGAATACAACACCACCAAGATCAAGACATAATTAGACAGTTAAAACCTTAGGATTGGTCTGGAAAAGGTCATTGTTAAGTTGAATTTGCTTGTCATGGTACAGAAAAATGTTTTTTTTATCAAAAAATTTTGTGTATAAGAACCCAACCACCAGAAAATAATATGCAGTAACAGTTGTCATCTTTGTTCTAGTATCCTTTCAAAATATACGTATAGTTAATAAGTGATTTCAGGTTTTTGGAAGACTATAATCAAGTAGGTACTCAGGTAATGAATATAAATAGTATAAATACTGATTTTTATTAATTTAAAAAGAAGCCGAGATAGCAGAAAGAAAGATTCAAGAACAAAGTGAGTTCGTGTTTGTAGTTTGTTTTGTGGCATTTCCCGATATTTTTCATGAATGAAATGACTACAAATTATTGACAAAATTATCAGAAATATTTCGAGGCGTCAACTGCTTCTAAATATTAAGTACCTAGTATACAATAATAATACTATACTCGATATCAGAAATAAAAAAACTTTTCATAGTTAATGATAAAATAAAGAAGATGCTCACATCAACAAGAAGCAACAATATCAGAAAGGCGAAGAAAAACTATAAACAATATTAAATGTTCAACAAGCACACGATTTCCTTAAAAAATATTCCTTACCTAATCGAAATAACATTATTACATCACAAGTCCAGTCTGTATGAAAATTTACAACTCGAGCAATTTTTTATTTACAATCAGAACTTTCCCGTATCCGCTATGACAGCGGACTTCGGCACAAGACCCTTCTGAGTTCCTCTGCAGCACAACCACCACTTGTTGTCGACTTCCAAAACCACGCGCAGCCTCTCTCCCTCGTTGTAGGATAAGTGCCCACTCTCAGATGGTACCCTGTGGCTTAGGGTTCTCACAACCCTGAAAAGATTGTATGACATCAACATTTACCTCGAATAATACTATTGGCTTCGGCTTTCGAAAATCTACTTGGAAATTATTGTTCGTGAATTTTTTTCATGATGAATGTCTATACCTTTTCCAGTTGTATTTCAGAAAGCGCAATTAAATTCTGAAATACAATTGATACTTTCTGAAATACAAAAGTGATTATTCTGAAATAAAATTGACGATTTCTGAAATGCAACTGGAGAAGATGTAGACCTAAATACACAGAGATACACATAACCGATTTACTTCTCTATATACAGGGCGTTATTTAAGTACGTGGCCAAACTTGAAGGGGTGATTCTTCGAGTGATTCTAAGACGAAAAGTTCATATAAACATAGGTCCGGTAATGCTTCGTTTTCAAGATACAGGGTGTCAAAATTTTTAAAAGAAATCGTTTTTTTCGTAAATATCATAATAACCCTCTAACCGATTTCATTGAAATTTGGCAGTTTTATTCAAGGTCATAAAGGGCTAATTCAACCCTAACTATATCAAAATTATCATGTCCAGTGGCGTCCCGGAAGGCACTGTAACCAATATTTTTGACAGAAAAAATGTGCGCAACTGATTTTTTTGCAATTTTTATATTTGTTTCACATTGAGCAACTAAAATTACAACTTTTTTATATCCAGAAGTTTTTTCGTATCTTGCTTTGTTTTTGAGAAAAAACATAAAAATCACTTCATGGCACGTCCCTGGCACAACACAATAAAACATTTCAACTACTAAACCATCAAAAACTGGGGTCTTACTAATATTTTTCGATTTTGATATAGTTAGGGTTAAATTAGCCCTTTACGACCTTGAATAACACTGCCAAATTTCAATAAAATCGGTTGAAGGGTTATTAAGATATTTACGAAAAAAACGATTTCTTCTAAAAATTTTGACACCCTGTATCTTGAAAACGAAGCATTACCGGACCTATGTTTATATGAACTTTTCGTCTTGGAATCACTCAAACAATCACCCCTTCAAGTTTGGCCACGTACTTAAATAACACCCTGTATATTAATAACATATACAGTTGAATTACTGCCGAATTTTTATAAAATAGCTGTCGAGAAGGTTCTAATATAATTTTACCATGAAATTATAGTGTTACTGATGGTAATGCCTAGAATAGATATTGTGGAGTTGTCGGAATGCTGGTACCATACTTTGTTAAATCAGACATTATTCCAGTTCGTTTTTTCATTGAAAATACAGGCTTTTGGTGACGTTGAATTTGACCAGGTTGTTGGTTCCTTAGGCTGAAATTTTGAGAATATTTCCCCTTGTGGGACACTGATGGCTACCGTATCATCAGTCCACTACCATATATGGAGCGAACTGTTTGGAACAAAACTGGATAGATGGAATAATATTGTATCAGGCTGATTTACCTAATGATAATAATTGTGTATATGTCTACGATTTGATAGGTTGTACCTATATAGTTACTTTTTTTGAACCTACTGACACTTCTAGAGAAACCCTAATGAAACTAAATTTTGGGAATATTTCCCCTTGTGGGACACTGATGGCTACCGTATCATCAGTCCACTACCATATATGGAGCGATCTGTTTGGAACAAAACTGGATAGATGGAATAATATTGTATCAGGCTGATTTACCTAATGATAATAATTGTGTATCTGTCTACGATTTGATAGGTTGTACCTATATAGTTACTTTTCTTGAACCTACTGACACTTCTAGAGAAACCCTAATGAAACTAAATGATAAAACATACCATGTCTTTACGCGTACAAATCGCGCTAATCGTCTGTAGAAATAGATTTGAGTATAAATTATGGTTGGGGTACTATGGCACGAATATGGAGTAATGGAGTAAAGTGCATGAATATTTCACTGAGCGTGTTCGAGGCGATTTTAGAAAACTTCTTACCAGGTGTGGATGGACCCACAGCTAACATTTCCTTCAACCTCAGTGTCAATTTTTTTAAACATACAATGAAACAAACTTAAACTTACTTTGGTAAAGAAGTAGTACCGAGGGGTTTCCTATTCAACGAACTAGAAGCAGCTCGTCTGGGAGGAGTGATTTTGGAAGCTCTTCCATTTTGTGGGACTGCTTTGTAAGGTAAACTACTAGGTCTTTGAACATGCCTAGGCGTGTCATGAGGGTGATCTAGCTGGTCCACCCTGCTTGTCCTTAAAAATGAAATGATTACAAGAAATGATTAGGGAGAGTAGGTCGTATTGACGATTAATATTGTACTTTATATATGTATGCACGATTAATATTGTACTTGATATATATATATATACAGCTACTAATATTAATTGAATATATATATATATATATATATATATATATATATATATATATATAGAAAACTAATGTATTGGGGAATGCAGCAAGTAAAAGCGAAACTCTTTAAAGTTTATCCAAGCTTTCGGAAATGTTTATTTCCTTCTTCAGGGATGCTACAATGATATATCATATTAATGTGCACAAAAATAGATAATATAAATATACATACATCTTTGTTGAGATTAATTACATGGATGTTATAAGATGATAGACATATCATTACACATGGTGCCATCAGTAGGAATAAAAATCTCCACAATAGTCAAGGCAATAAAAAAGGCAAAATACTGACATTTAGAAATTTGTAAAAAGACCAGACGAAATAATTAACATTTTAAAAAATTATTCACATCCATGCTGGAAAACCACGGATGGAAAGTCAGGTTATGGATTAACGCGGTTAGGACCAACATAACCTAATCTTCTCTGTCAATTCCAAAACAAAATCACTCAGAGTGCTGTGTGCACTGGATGTACGTTTTGGTTGGAACAGACAAATTCTGGTATTGAAAAAGAAGAAGAAGTCTTGACTGTCTTCTGTAAAATCTGAACATTGGAAAAATGGAGAAAACAGATAATATTCATGTCGAAGTTTTAATATCCATTGCAAGTAAGTGTGAATAAATTATGCTTAGATGATTTATGTCAGTTCTTTTATTTATGCAGTTGTTTTCCTGGGAGATGAAAGCCATTTCAGGAAAACAACTGCATAAATAAAAGAACTGACATAAATCATCTAAGCATAATTTATTCACACTTACTTGCAATGGATATTAAAACTTCGACATGAATATTATCTGTTTTCTCCATTTTTCCAATGTTCAGATTTTACAGAAGACAGTCAAGACTTCTTCTTCTTTTTCAATACCAGAATTTGTCTGTTCCAACCAAAACGTACATCCAGTGCACACAGCACTCTGAGTGATTTTGTTTTGGAATTGACAGAGAAGATTAGGTTATGTTGGTCCTAACCGCGTTAATCCATAACCTGACTTTCCATCCGTGGTTTTCCAGCATGGATGTGAATAATTTTTTAAAATGTTAATTATTTCGTCTGGTCTTTTTACAAATTTCTAAATGTCAGTATTTTGCCTTTTTTATTGCCTTGACTATTGTGGAGATTTTTATTCCTACTGATGGCACCATGTGTAATGATATGTCTATCATCTTATAACATCCATGTAATTAATCTCAACAAAGATGTATGTATATTTATATTATCTATTTTTGTGCACATTAATATGATATATCATTGTAGCATCCCTGAAGAAGGAAATAAACATTTCCGAAAGCTTGGATAAACTTTAAAGAGTTTCGCTTTTACTTGCTGCATTCCCCAATACATTAGTTTTCTTCCTACTGGTCAGCAACGACTTCCCTTCCATATATATATATATATATATGCATACTCGAGAAATGAGAAATGCTGCTACAAGAGAGTATGTTTATATCATATTGGTACCTACTTATTGTGAACAGATGAAAAAATTGATGAAAACAATTAGATATATTGAATCCTGTTTGATTCATCTTTTCAGTTACTACTAAACATTTTGGATAATCATGAATCTCATGAATTCGTTACTTATACAAAGCAAAATATTTCATTTATATGTTCAGGGGCGGACCGTGAGTTTTTTTTTAAATTCCATTACCTCATCGGTCCCAGCACTGGGACCGAACGCCCCATAAGCCGAAACTTGTGCGGGGTTAGGTAAGCATACAAGCACAAACATCCATGGCCTAACTGGGATTCGAACCCATGTCTCGGTGGAATATTCCCCATACGAACTCAGCGCCCTCTAGCGCTCTCGACCACCGAGAGACCGTTTGTGGGCCTGTGGGCACTGGGCTAATGATACTTGGAGGCCTGTCTAGTTATTTAACCAACTGATTGTCATTTTGTTAACGAACTGTTTTCAATAATAATATACTAGATACAAGATATACGGAAGAAAATATAGGACAACGAAATATTGTATTTACATAATACAACCTAACAACACAAACAACAACTGAAAGGCATTATTTCAAAGTAAATCAACACGTGATGTGTTTCGCTGTTATATAAATAAATGAGCATATAATAAGAATTTTTTGAATTCTTGATACTTTTATTTACATCATTGTCCATTGTCTTCAAGGGGCCCTTTGTATTCACGGGACCCTATAAGCTGCAGCCAGATGGCCCTCATATAGATGCGCCTTGTATATGATTATTGCTATTCAGAGGCAAACATTGATGTGTATTATATTGATTAATACCTATAAAATATTGAGTAATCGGTGGATTGGATAATTATTTTGCAAAAAAATCACTGATTTCATGAATTGCTTTCTCAAGTATATTAGTTATAAGAGGTATGGAACATCAACTTTGGATGATGTTCGATGTAAGAGGCTTGTATGAACAGGTAGCCCCCATACTTATTGAAACTTGAAAATCAAATCAGGCAAACTTAAAACGAAAATCCTTTTTTTTCCAGTAATAGCAAAAAAAAACATGAAACCGACATGGAAGTGTCTTTTTTTGTCAAATATATAACTTATTTAAGCGGTCGGAACGGGAAAACATGTGTCATTACAACGTCATCTAATGACCTTGGCGATCGCGAGTTGAATAACTAACACTAACCTCCTGAAGATGTAAACAATAGCGGAACACGCGTGTCGATTCGTTAAATCGGTTTGGTTAATGATGGTAAAACAGTGTGATGTAACAATTGCAGGTCATTACTTGGAAGTGAAACATTTTCAATAACAAGAAAGAAATAACCCAGATTTAGTATGCGTACAATTTAGATTAATAAGGTGAAGCAAACTAATGAAAATCATCACTGAGGTTACTCACCTTTCGTTTACAGTTACAGCTTTTCATTCTGACTCGCACTAAATAATCTACAGGGCAGTTATTTATCCTAATGAAAATGAAAATAAAAATATAATTCCCCAGGAAGGTGGATTTGCGTCTAACAAAAATTTCAACTTCCACTATCTGAATGAACGTATTGAAATAGTTAATAAATTCGCGTATTTAGGAGTCATATTCTCCTCCTCAGGTCTTTTTCTTGAAATGGCAAAGACTACTGTCGCCAAGGCTAAACAAGCTCTTGGAGCTACTATGGATCTCATGATCCACTCCAAAATGACGTCGTGGGACGCGAGAATGAAACTATATAACTCAGTTGTCATATCTTCCCTTTCGTATTGTGTCGGAATTTGGGGCCTCCGGTATACTGACTTACTAGAAAGAATACAAGTTGCATATTTCAAGAGATTACTTTGTTTAGCTAAAAATACTCCAGATCATATTGTTAGATTGGAAACTTCTTCGACAAAACTGAGTCTTCTAGTTCTGAAGTCCGCCCTTTCTTGGTTAAATAAAATTAAAACTATGAATGATTCTCGCCTCCCAAAAATATGTCTTTTACGTCTGATACAGCTCTCCACGACAGAATCTAAATTCAATTGGGTAAAGCAAATGTATAATTACTTTTCCATTCTAGAAAGACGGGATTTATCAGAAAACCTTCTCAGAACAGATTTTAAAAAACTATCTCCCATCATTATCACTTCCTATCAATCGCTTTTACTCCGAGAGGATAAGATTAGGCTATCCCACTCAGAATATCCTTACCTGTATAAATTACTCACTAATGAAAATGGCCTATTTTATCTCAAATTGTCTAATCCAATCTCATCCATCAGACTAATTGCACAGTTAAGAACAGCTAATAAATATTTTTTGAAATTGAGAGCCAATGGCTCAACTCATATTATAAAAATGGATCAAACTTGCTCTATATGCAATTTAGGCAGAAATGAAACAATCTCTCACCTATTCTTTGAGTGTCCCATTTATGAAGGACTGAGAATTTTGTTGAAGCCACAGATCACAGACATGAATGATCTATTAGAAACCCTCAATACTGGCACTCCTAAAAATCTACAAAATGTTGTACATTTCCTAGCAGGCCTACTGAAGCTTCGCTCTTTTGTTCTGAATGAATAGTAACTCCGATGTATTTATTATAGTCTCTATTTTGATATTGTATTTTAATATTTTTGTTTTCTGAATATTAGCTTTGCATGTTTATCCACCTTTCTCTTCATGCTTCTGGAAAAGTTTATTGCCATAATATTTTTTTTTCTTTAATTTAATTTATTTTTTCTTTCTGCTTTAATACTGCTATCAGCCAGGTATACGAAACACAAAACTCATTGTTATAAGAATTGTAAATTCTTTACGAACAATAAATAATAAGTAAGTAAGTAAGTAATATAATTCCCCAGGAACATGGAATCTGGATTTTGTGAAGTTATAATCTCACCTTGTACTGGGTCCTGCCCTATTGTTTGGCGAACTCTTGACACTATTCGCCCCCTTCAAGACAACGGCGCTAGCCTTTCCACCCGGAGGAGTTGTAACTTTCTTGATGGCCTTATTCCCCACCGCTAGTCCCACCGGTACCGGAATGCCAGACGGCTTAACGGGTGAAGTGATCGGTCTGGGAATTTTCGACTTAGTGGCATGAGTGGGAGACAGTGGCGGCGATTCCGTGGGGTTCTGTCCGCTCAGCATCTCCCACTTTTGCTGCAATTTCTTGAACCGCCTTCCGTTCAGAGGTTTTTCGTCTGAGAAGTTGGAATCGAGAGATTCAGGACATTCTCGTTCATTGTCCTCGTTGATAAGAGATGGGACATTTTCGTTCGAGTTGTTTCTGTCGCTTTTGTCTTGTCCCGGCTGGTTCTCGAGGCTGTCAGTGTACTCCTCTTCTTCCTTGGACAACCTGTCGTAGGCTTGGTACAGTTTGGAGTTGAGCGAGATGCCGGACCAACGTTTTCTGTTGACGTCATCTCCCAGTTTGAAAGTGAGCTTGGATGAACCGCTGGATTCCACGCAAGACCTCGGCCTCTCCTTGTTGCTTCGGATTGTTGATTTCGATGGGGGTGAGGAACTCAGCAAATCGGGAAGATGAGTGTCATTATTCACTGGGTAGTGACGCACAGTGTTGGCGGTAGAAATGTCTTCAGATTCGGAGTTCGAACGGTTACTGTGTGAAGAGTGGCAAATTTTGGCCGAGTTGAATTGCTTGAAGTTGGGGGATGTAGAATGCTGAAAAAAATATATTTCAGATGAAGTCACGGAAAATGAATGCCATACATTGTGCTACTGATTCACAAAGGCTTGATTCATATACAGTGCCTACCATAAAGTTCGTATCAATTGAGAAAAAGTTTATTGTGGGAATATTGGAAACTTTCTTCATCATAATATTGGAAACATTATGGACATAGCAATTCTTGTCGGATCTGTTTAATAATAATAATGAAAATGAGATAAAATTGATATTCATTTTCATTTCATATTCATTTTGTCTGCAAAACGAGAACATATTATTTTTCAAACTCCGTAAATGAGCAAACAATAACTTTTTGAGCAACTTTTTCAAACAATTTTGTTGCCTTTTAGACATTTTTTTAATTTGTTGCCATACCAGAGTGTGTCGTGCCATCTATCTGAATAAATTTTTTGAGGTTATCGGCTGACACTTTTTTGATTAATCTTCACTGTGATACATAAATAATGAGTTATATAATTAATTATGTTCTTTGACCAAGATAATTTAGAAAACAGTTTTTCCACAATATATTATTGTCGTTTTTTGAAACAATCTTCATTAATGAAATGATGTAGCGTCTCGTTTGCTGTTATGTGTAGATATGACACCCAATATATGATAATATTTCACACTTTTTATTGGATATTTGTGGAAAACACATTTTTCAATATCACACGATTTCAACGTAATTTGAAATATTCTGGGTGGTTCATGAAAGTTCAGTACTTACATAGGATGCATTTTATTGACGATCTGATTTTAATAACCTATTGTAGCGTCTTAGTGATGAAGTAAAACTAGTAACCGCACTCTTCGAATAAAATAATTTTTGGTGTAGTTTTATACCTCTTCCTGTGAAACGCTTCGCCAGATCGATTCTAATAACTTATTTTTTAACGTGACTCGAAATATAAATAGTAGGTAGGTACTTCCAGCAATTATTCTGTATATTAAATAGGTAACGTTGAGTAAGTTTGCAATTCAGAATCAGAATCGACTTTCCGTATCTATACAAAAATGTGTACCCAGCTCGCTAGATAAGTGTAGTTTGATGAATAAACTAATGGCTCAAAATGTGTATTAAAGGAAAACTATCCTTGAAAAGTTGATTAAATTAAAATAATTTTTCCTACTACTGCTATGACAAGTAGCGCATTTCTCATAGTTTACTTAGTTTCAAAACCATGTATTGCTATACTGTGAAAAATATTTTTTCTCACAGCACTTTGCCAAAACCACATACATTTCCATGGAGAATCAACAAAAATCGACCAAAACTGAATTGACTGCTGTTCAGCTTTGAATAGTTGTCACAACTGTCAGAAGTTTTTCAAATTCTTCAGGGTAGTTCTCATTAGTGCGATAGATAGAAATCGCATTTTCCATCAAATATTATTCCAACCATTCATAATATACAGGGTGTATCTAAATAACACCGAAAAACTTCAAGGGCTGATTCCTTGTGATATTTTAGGAAATAAAGTTCATATAAACATGTGTCCTAACTTGCTTCGTTTTCGAGATACAGGGCATTGATATTTCCATGAAAAATCTTTTTTTCTATTCATTTCTCAATTGTCTTTTCATCAATTTCAATAAAACGTTTTGGTCTTGTTAAAAGTAATATGGAGCTTCTTCTAGTGCAATTAGATTCGAAATAATATTTCCAGTGCCGTCACAGTGGGTAAATTTATCTATATTCTTGGTGAATGTCATTGTATACACCACCAGTTTTGAGTTACATATTTTTATTAGATTGAACTATTGAAATAACAACTTTTTTATCCTTTATGTGATTTCTGCGTCTAGCTTAGTTTTGAGGGAACAATAAAAATTCGATTTGACTCAAAATTTTAATGTAGGTGTTTTCAAGACTTCCATATTGAGATTACTCAATAACCCCAATTAGAATCATTTTGAAATTTCGGGGCTCTCTCAGTCTCCAACCATACTGAATTTTGGCCCCATGCATGAAAGCTTATACAGGGAGGTTATAAAACAATTAATACTTCCAACTTCAACATCCTGTATCTCAAAAACGGAGCAAATTTGGACACATGTGTCTATATGAACTTTATTCGCTAGAATATCACGAGGAATCACCCCTTGAATTTTCTTGGTGTTACTTAGATACACCCTGTATAATATGATGTATATACCGAGATGTGACGATTTTGATAAATACACCACCAGAGACAGAGATAATGGAAAAAGCTGCGAAAGTTGGATTTGTTTACGGAAATTTCAAGAAAAATATTCAATGTGGCATAGTGCTTGTGAAAAAATTGTTAAACTAATTTTATGTACCCCCTTCAAGGGGCTGTATCTTAACTTGGGATGCTCCAATGAAGTTTTTTTATATGAGAGATCCTATCTTTTTTTCGATGAGGAATCACCCCCTTAAATGTTTTACACTTATTTAGTTACACCCTGTATAGATAAACTATTCAATGCAATAACACGTGCATTCGTGAGAGTTGCAATTTTCTACTTGAAAAAGATGTAAGTAAATATCACTTTTTGCATGAATGAATATAGTTTGATAACTTTACTAAATAATTATTCGAATATACACCTAATTAACAACTTTTTTTTATCGCTTGGAGCGCACGAAAGGGAATCCCTATAATGTTCAAAGAACATCGTGCGTTCCTAGGGAGGATAGGGACAATAGGTAGGTATTGGATTTTTTTTTCAACTTTTGGAGATTATATGTTGTTGGGAATACTTCCACAGGCAATGAATTACAGAGCCTAGCCGTTCTATGGATGAAGGAGTCTTGATAAAGTGCTGTTCGACATAAAATGACAAGAAAAAACATCTTTATATGTTCACACTTTGAAGCACAATGCATGCATGCCATAAGCATACACATGCTGTCAAACATCGGAAAAATATTGGGAATAGTACTGAAACATGCAGATAATTCAGTCAAATTGCTAATACCGAAAAGTTGTCATGTTAATATACCATAAACATTTCAACTCACGATTTGCCTCATTACGATTTTCCTACCTTACAAACGGGACTGAGTTGCTGATGAAACGAATCCATCCTTTTGAAGCTCAAATGCAACTGCTTGTACTCAAACAACAAATCCAGCTGGAAAGGTATGAACGCCAGAGGCTGCAACGCGGCAATCATAGCGTCCAAAAGCGACCGGACGTTGGCACCTCCAGTGTGGGTCATGACCAACAGCGAATCACCCGTGTAGTGCTTGCGCAAGATGCTCTCCCTGGTTCTGAGGAAGCTCGCCCATGCGTCCAGAGACCGAACGTTGAGTAGACCGAAAACGAAGGCGTTAAATTTGACTAGGCCTTCGGTAATGGCATCCTCGCTGTTTATTCTCATGACCAGCTCATTCAGCGCTTTCGTTAAGGGTCCCTGCTGCGCAGAAGCCTCCACCACTTGCCACACAGAGTTATTGATGGCGCCAAAGCTGGTTTCGATGCTGGGCTTCAGCCCATCGCTCAGAACTGCGTAAAGGGCGGGACAGAGAGTGGTTAGTGCGAGTTTCGCGCATGCGGGGTTGATGCTTGCGTCCCCAAGTGCGTTTAGTTCGATTTGGTTGGATGCTAATGAGAAGTGGTGCATCAGCTGTTCGACAGAGTCGGTAACTGCGCTTATGAGCGAGCGTTTTTGAATGAGATTGTCTGAGAGGGTTTTGCTGAGGTGGATAGGGGTTGTTTGGGGACTCGAGTAGTTGGGGCTGTTTTCGTTTTCTTCACTGATTGGGAGGTCTACGAGAGTTTTCGCCTGAAATCCAAATGTGGAGTAAAACTATATATTCGTCATTTCGATTTATTATTATTGATTTATCATCGGAAAATATACAACAATAAACACCAATTCTAGAATATCATAGAAATCATACGGATTGATGATTTTTTCGAAACATTGTACAGTCGCATTCAAAAAAAAAGCGCAGAAGTATATTACAGAGAGAAATTAACGTCATCCTATTCTGCATAAAACGGGCTATCGGGAATGATTGTTCACCAAATGTTGACAGTAAAGTTGTCATAGGTTCTCGAAAACACAAAGCATTGGCTGAGTCAGTTTTACACAACTAGAACTAGGATCCCGAAATCCTCTCTTTTTGATACTTGTACTCTTTTTTATTGAATACGACTGTACATGTATACATCATCTATCACATCCGCTACCATATTCTCACTATAGTTAGTACTTCCTAGCTTACACTTCCAGTATACCTATTTATTTATAATCAATCCTGTGATCAATATTCCATAGTGGAATAATTTTATACAGCTCCATACTAATCATTCCACCATTTGTTTACTCGAAATGGTGTATAATACTTTCATTTAATTACATGAATTACACTTGTGCAACAATTATTGTTCTGATTTACGTTATACATACCTATATGTTTTGTTGTATACGGGTGAAGACTTTAACTGGAATAAATTCTCTAGCAGGAAGGTGAATGATTTTTCTGGAAATTCCCGAGACATGTCAACGTTATGATGTATGATGTATTTACCTACCAAATATGAAGAATATAACCCTTCAGGGGTAGCTGAAATCAGCCCCAACATGTTTTTTCAAATGCGACATTATGGGTTTTGAATCCTCATTGGAAAGCTAGTTGAAACCACACAAAACTCAAAGACCTTGAAACAGGAATCCAGCGTACTGATGAAATTTCAGTTTGCAGTACGTTTGGGGGTCGCATAAAATCAAAATATAATCTCCAAGTTTGATATATTTCCAACTATGTTCATTAAAATTTCGATTCTTAGTGATAGGAATATAAGGCATTTTCATCAATAGGCGAGTGGACTGATAATGAATTATTGGCATTCAATTACCCCACTGTGTCGCTAAGGACCTAAATTGATTTTCACGCAGTTACGTTACGTTTTTTTTATGTAGATAATGAGTCTATGCGTTGTTCAAAATTGTTGAATTTCAGAGCTCATTTCAAACAAAAAAAAAAAAAAATAGTCTACTCGCCTATTCCCAATAACACTTGGTTTTGAACTGTCAATACGGCATAACTAAATTTATGTTTGCGGCTCCATATATACACTAGCATACAATAGCACATAGCAGTTGTGGCAAAAAATTGCCATCAATTGTTCAACACACATTTTGAGGAATTGTTACATTGAAAATAAATTTAATTTAAAAATTACATTTCAATTTTATACAACCCTCAAACATACAAAAAACTACAATTTGACTAGTACGCTGGATTCCTCTTTCCACCAGCTTTCCAGTGAAGGGTCGCAAGTCATTAGGTTGCATTTGAAAAAACTTATTGAGGGTGGTTTCAGCTACCCTTGAAGAGATATATTCTTGATATTCCTTGCAAAATGTAGATACATTAAATCGTTGACGTATGTCGACAATTTAAAAATATATATATCCACCTCCCTGCTATCAAATTTATTCCAGTTAAAGTCTCCACACGGTTTATCTCTATATTATAAACAATAACGTTTCTTGGGATAATAAAGACAATCAATATTTCGAATTCACTATATTCACTATATTCATTACTATCTTAATAGTTTCATTAGGGACTGATCGATCTGTTTCCATGATGAGAGAAAATGCATTGATGGAAGTGTTTTACATTATCAATGGGAGAATTAGTTCATGAAAAAAGAAGAGTTATCTACGTTGTTTCATCAATTCTCAGCAGAAGATTCTTATGAAAACAATTATTTTTATAGGATTTTGTAAATGAAGTGTTCTGGCAATCAATGATTATGGTAGTCATGCACAATTAGTAATAGTAGTGAGTGTGTCACATTCCACTGACCCTGCAGAAATAGTAACTCACCTGACAATTTTTATGATGAAGGAAAGCAGATACATTTGGCGAGTTGTTGGGAGGAATGAACTGCTTGGGCTCCAGATGTTTCGGCAACAGGTTAACCTTTTCGGCAAAACTGACACACTTCTTTCCACCGAAATGCTCTCCGCCCTCTTGATTAATCTTCAAAGATAAAAATTTACCTACGTATGATTTCAACTGTGAGATACTCTTCTCCGAATTTTCCTCGTCGGACGTAGAAATACCACTCAGTTTTAGGTATTCCTCAAGTTGGGCGAGCTCTTCCGTACTGATGTTGGATAACAGATAATCAGTTTTGCGATGAGAAATGTCGGGATTTTCGTCTAAGCTGCTGCTGGACGTACCCGCATCTACGCCTTCATCTTCAGTTTCCGAGAATCTATAATAAAACGTATAAAACATTATTCATTATTATAAATTTATATTCATGACAATTATATATCTATCGCGTCTAGGATACGTTTTCCTATTAACTTCGAGGAAAATTAATTTCAAATTGTTAAATGAAACAACGAGCCGAAACAAAATTTTGTAGCTTAATGATGGTATTCAGCGCTCTGTGGCATGAATGTATGCTGTGTTTACGAAGTACATCAAGGATACCTACTCGCAAGAGTACAATAGATATTCGCCTTGAGGGTTTGTGGCTATTTCAAAATGATGTTGAGAGGGGATGCTATTGTTGATCGTAAGACTTGTACCCCTAGATGGCAAGATTGATGATGAAGCACTTGAGAGAAGGGGCATTGAACTTCCCATATAGCACGAGTACGTCCCCAAAACGTACTGAGAACGTCCGGCCAAGACGTTTCGTACGTACTGGGGACGTCCAGATTTGGTACGGTCGACGTTCAGGTACGTACTGGGGACGTCCAGATTCCGCGCGTTTGTACATCCTCAGTACGTCCATTCAGGACCATGGATTATGGACACATGATTCAACGTAGATCCGCCTCTTTTCACTCAGATAGTCGAAAAAGAGATTTATATAGGGTAGAAAGTCTTATTTTGAATTGAAAAAATTAAAAAAAAACGCTTCTACCGGGGATCGATCCCACGACCTTTAGATCAGCAGGCAGATGCTTAACCTATTACTCTGTAGAACCCTTGTTGATTAACAGTATACAACAAGCAATATTGTGTGCAATTGCCGATTGTCTCATCACATCGATACTTTTAAAGAATTAGATAATCACGGCAGAGAATAAATACCTAAATAGATGTTTTGTGATCTGGTGGGGCAAGTAAATAATGAATTTATCGTGAGCATTTGTATTATGTTTATGTTTGCAAGGTTCCTATATGGATAGATTTCAGAGATCGAGGGTAGAAATCATATATGCAATGATTTCGATTATCATTGAACAATTTTATTCAATCCCGTGAACAAAAAGTTGATAACGTCCAGAGTTGGACGTACCCAGTACGTCGGAATCGTACGTACCCAGTACGTCCAGAAATGGACGTTTTCAGTACGTCTTGAAAAGGTCCCGGACGTTCAGACCTAAATGGGTCCTAAACTGGATGTCCCCAGGACGTCGAGTGCTATATGGGTTGGATACTCATTAAATAATTAGGTCTGTTGCATGATATCTACACGCATATTTCTCTTTCTAAGATAGAAAGAATAATAGAGAGGTGCATAAGAAATATAATACTCATGATTGATTAGATGCGACATGCGTTGGAACCGGTCGACCGATTTACAAAAACAAAAATTCCATAATATAGTACATTTTTTTGCATTCTAAAGCCAAGCGACATATTTCCACTTTTGATGTTTTTGAAACATCTATGAGGAGACAATTGGTACTCTTCGATTAACAAAAATAAAAATTCCATAATACTTATAGTACTCAATGAGCTCTATTCGAGAATGTGAACAAATTTGAAATATTATTCAGATTTTCAAGGCCTACTTTTCTTCGTTTAACGGGTCCAATTTCAAAAACGATTATGAAGCGATTTTGGCGAAATGGAATGAAAATTTGAGATGACAATGAAAATCGTTAAGTATCGAGGATTATCGAATTGGTGACCGTTATTTATATTTCCAGGAGAAAAAATATATGGATCTTGAAACAATTCTCAACTTCAATTTCATTTATTTTTGGTTAACCTAGAGATATCTTCTGGTAGGAGTTACAACGATAAAACTTCGTATCAAAGTATTAGATGTGTTCCTCCATTGAATGTGGGTATTAAAGCCATGCCTAAATCGAATAGAATAGTCATTTTTTAAAAAAATTGCCTTTTATTCGTTCTTGAAATTTTGACCCCTTCAAAAAATAGACCTCGAAAATCTTGATATTTCAGATTTGTCCATATTTCCGAACAGAGCTCGTTGAGTACTGTATTATGGAAATTTTGTTCTAGAAAATCGGTCACCGGGTTCCAAATTAGGAGGGTGTTGCGGGTTGAAATCGCATACACATAATATCGAAATTTGGTGTAGTTGATACTTTCTAGAAAATCACATTTCAAAACATTCTGAAGGTTCTTGAAATCTACAGGGTGTTAAGTTTTTTTGGGGTAGAAGCTTCTTTATCCCCCCAAACTTTTTCGTAGTACGCTCCTGACATCTCCCAGTCTCCAAATAGGATGGATCGTTCAATTTGGAGCATTTTATGCCTCATTCTTTTTCGAGAAATAAACTGTTCTAGAGAAACAATATTGACAATGACGAATAATACAGATATGCATTGAGGACCAATGAGGCCACATTTACCAGATTTATGGTGGTGATTTACTATAATTCACGTGTGGCTTAATTATTTATCACCTAATTTCTTTTGTCCGTACATTTATCCCGACAGGTTTAATGCTATATGATTTTTCAATTTCTTTAATGACAATGAAAAAGATATAAGAAACAACTGGATTGGGCTTAACCAGTGCTTTAATACAAATTTTCCGCGTCTCTGTATCCCTGCTACTGATCCAGATTGGACATGTGCTTAAAAACGTTGCAATTTTAGTACATTTCGTTGCATTCTTAACGAATTTTGTCCAAGAATAAAATTCAAGCGGAACATGGACAAAATCGGGCAAAATTAACATGTTATAGAACGGATATGCTTATTTATCTCGAGAACAATTCGTTTCTAGAAAATAATCGCAGAACAAAAAAGCCTTCAAATTGAACGATTCACCCTATTTGGTGACAAGAAGATGTCAAAGGCGTACTATGAAAAAGTATGGGGAGGATAAAGAAGCCCCTACCCCCCAAAAAATTTCACCCTGTAGATTCTGAACATCTTTAAAATGCTTCAAATGATGATCTTCTAAAACGTATTGACCACAGCCAATTTCAAATTGATATCTTTAGAAGTGAGCGAGATATTTCAGTTGAAAAAAAAAATTTTTACTCCTTGTAGCTCCACTACTGATCGAGATACCTTCTAACCTCCCTGTATATAAATTCAGATATATTCAATATATCTTCAATAAGGTCATCTAGAACTGAAAGTAGACCATGAATGTAGAGGTAATTATAAAATTTAAAAAATCAACGAACCTCTTGTTCCTTTGCAGAAAGTAAGGTTCTGGAAGCGACTTCCTCTTGTAAACAGGATCATCGAGGTTTTCCTCCTCACTGGTCTCATACATGCTGTAACGTTTTGTGGCATCGATCTTTTCCATCGCTCTTCTCAAAATTCCTCTCGGCAAAGGCGGCCTCGGCGGCAAATTATCGCCTTGCGGCAAACTGACGCACCTCAACGGTATATTAGGGGCTGTGGTGATGCTACGCTGCCTCTCGCTGTTCATCAAACTGGCTTCCGAGCTAGTGACGCTGTCATAACGGTAGACGAAGAGCGGGTTGAGGTTTGCCGCCGGTACAGGGCTGTTCTGGGAATCGGTCAAAAGACTCGAAGACCCCCTGTAGCCCGAGCTGGGCTGAGTAGCAGTACTGGAACTCGAGGATTCGAAGCTTAAAGGACGGCGTTTCGTGAATTGATTGCGTACGAACGAGGGTTTTTCTTTGTTGGTTGGTTTGATATGTTCCGATACTTCTGGGACATTGGCCAGGATTTTTCGATATTCTTGTGGTAAGAGGAAAGTCAGGGAGTCCCAGTCTTGGATATGATTGAAGCCTCGCCTCTTCAGAGTTTCAATGTCATTACAGCTGAATGGTCTTCTCTTGTTGGTAACTGTGTTTGGTGCCTTTTGTGGTACGAAGAGCAACTTGGAAATATCGTCTTTTTCATTAAGGAAATCCAAATCAGGAAGGACATAGTTCGGGTACAAAATGTAAACTGGTTTTTCACCTTCGCCTTCATTTTTTAGTTTGCTCAAAAACGATGGTTCTAAGATTTTAACTGGCTGTTGGGCTGCTGAATTATAAGTTTTGTTAGCATTCTTGAGATTAGTTATTTCTGAGAAGTGCGATGTCTGAATGCTCCTATTCATTAAGATGTTCTTAACTTTCTTTGGAGATACAACTTTCCTAGGTTTCACAAAACCAATGTCATTATTATTTCTAGCTATGGGAGCAATATTTTCTTTCTCAAAACTTTCTGCCACCGAATCGAGTTTTGATATACTCTCGGAAAGTTGTTCAACAGATTCGCTTCTTGAGATATCTTCTTCAGGTTCCTCGGCTATCAAATCATAAGTTCTTATACTACTTTCGTTTGTTTTAGCTTCTGCACTACCATTGAGCATTTTCAGATTTTCTTTGGAACCCGATGAATTACTTTCTCCCGATTGACTTTCTGGCCAGTTTTCTGAAGAGGACAGTTGGTCCATTGTGGTTGACATACCTGAAAAAAGTTCAGTTTTTAGAAATACATTGGAAAACACATTAGAAGTCATGTGGTTATTACCTTCTACACTCATACTTTTCTGTTTCATAAATAGCTTGACTAGACTGAAGTTTGGTTGTTTGTTGTTAATGTTCTCGCTACAACTTGCATCTACAGAGGTGGCCATGTCAGAAACGCTTCCACTACTACTGCTGATTTGGTGCTGGATGTCAAATACTTTCACTGGGCGCCTCTTAACAGTATTGGTATCAGTCTGCAATAATTATTCCTTGATAGTATCTGATTTTTTATATTACATTCACAGTTTTTGAATATGCAACTCAAGTTACATCATACTCAACCTACTGCAATTCCGCAAATGTAATGTCAATGCTCGATATTTTTGCTGTGCATAATTATACAGTGTGTATTAGCCAAATGGAATAAATTCGATAACAAATAAACGGGAGAGTTTTCGAAAAAACTCTCGGACACGTCGAATGATATTTTTAGAAGCGCATCCTTCAGGGGCGTCATTATAGACTGTGTCAATGGGGAGCAAGATGTATTTTGGAAGGGGACTGCAGGTTAGGCAAAAAAAATGCGCCGCAGCCGAAAACTTTTTTGGTTCAGGAAAAAACAGTATACTTAATATAACGATGCATTCCAAGAGTTTTTATTCATTAATGGACATAACGAATACAGGCAGAAATGACAAAACTAGTAACTATACAAGGTGATTCTAAAATAGGTGGTCAAAGTTTGGGAGTATATAGAGTGGGTGAAATAGTTACGAAAACCTCCGTAATTTTTTTTTCTGAGGTGACCCCCAAGAAAGATACAGCCCCTCAAAGGGGGGCCTCAGAGAATGATTTTGTATTATTATCTCCAACACCTTGTATGATAAAAATCTCAAATTTTGTCCATCCACTAACTATTGAACTATTAGCGAATAAAATTTATTTTTTCAAGATTTCATTTAAATTGCGATTTTGGTATGTACTTGAGCTTAATTATCTAGGTAAAATCTCGCAACTGAATTTTTACCTACTTCTAATCATCTGATCAACCTAGAATCTGGCAGATGACAGTTGACAATGCGTTATGGCGGCCAATGTGGCTGACCAGATTTGAGATTATGGTCTCTAACTCAGTGTTAAATTCTTCGTTCCATTTCGTTGGAGTTATGTTGTATGAAAATGTAATAAAATAAGGTAGAAAAAATCAGTGATAAAAATGCTTCCGTCCAAATGCTCCAGGAAGTGGAAGAAGATATCTAGAAGCATTTTTTTCTAACTTTTAGAGCATTCACCATATTTCATCTTCAATTTTTTATTTCAATAGTTAAAATAATAAAAGCTAGTTTTTAACAATATTTTTCATTTTAGTATTTTCAATAGGATCAGACCATAATCACGAAACTCGTCTATTTTTAATTCATGAATTCCGACAACGAATTCAAAACTTCCAACCCCAAAAACCCTTACAAACCCATTTTGAATCGCATCGGACCATAATCACAAATCTGGTCAGCCACATTGGAGCCGCCATATTTTTTTCTATCAAAAAGTCCATAACGCGTTGTCAACTGTCATCTGCCAGAAGTTGATCAGACGATTAAAAGTAGGTAAAAATTCAGCTGCAAGATTTGAACTAGATAATTAAACTTAAGTGCATACCAAAATTGCAATTTAAATGAAATCTTGGTTCATTTTATCGAGATTCAACAAGAGCTCCTTTTCCATGTTAATTGCCCTGAGATTTCATAATTTTATGTAAAAAAACTGAAATTGCGATGAACAAAAGAGTTGGCGTTATTTTTACCCCCTACCTCCCTATTATGACACACCCCTGTATTTAATTTTGAGGTGATTTTAACTCCATTCGAACCGGCACTGAATAGTTAGTGGATAAACGAAATTTCAGATTCTCATCATACAAGGTGTTGGAGATAATAATACAAAATCATTCTCCGAGGCCCCTCTTTTAGGGGCTGTATCTTTCTTGGGGGGCACTTCAGAAAAAAATGTTACCGAGGTTTTCGTAATTATTTCACTCACTCTATATACTCCCAAAGTTTGACCACCTATTTTAGAATCACCTTGTATGATATAAAAATGAATTGAGAGAATAGAATTGAAACAACTCGTTGGTAACAAACATAACAATTTTCTATACATGTATAAAGTAAATAAAAATAAAAATTTTAAATAAAATATATATGTCGCTAGAATTGAAGTTACATTAATTGACATTGGGAACATGAAGGAGCATTAGAAATTGAAATCACAATTCTCTAATTCAACAATGGATATCGCCGTTTTCTCATCCTGGCGAAATGATCCACAGCTTCGTCAAGATCGATATTTTTCACTTCATCCGATTCAACAGATATCAGGAGTAAATCACTCAGTCTATTGTCTCGGGGCGGTAGTCGGTAGTTCAACTCGCGTGTTTTTTACATTTTACTGCCTGTTGACTGATGGGTCACAAGCCACCCTTCATTTATATAATTAAATTATTTTGCTCCTCGCTCCAAGGTTCGTATTCACATATTATTCAACGCATAATTCGGATGTTAGGAAAAAAATGAAAAAATTGATCAAATATCTTTTTGTTCACTGATATAAAAATAGGTTATATACAATACTTAAAAACATTTTAGGATTCCTCTGGAATAAAATTGTTGCAGTTGGCTATCATATTCATCGTCGAATTCTTGTTTCATCTAGTCAAGATGTGAATATTCAAAGGTAATTTCTGTCATCTGCAGTAAGTATTCAATCCAGAAAATTCATTCCATATTCTGATGGAAATGACAATCAGAAATATTCTTGCACTTGTCTCTTAGAAATAAAAACAGATACGTAAGTATAGTCTTATATGGTGTTCTCAGATGACGTCATGCGTTCTCCCGCGTTTTTTATATTATGAAATATCGTGGCATGCAGTCAGACAACAATTGGCAATAAATCTGAATACATTCAATATTTCCGAAACAGTTGAAGACGGGTATATAGGACATTGTACATTAAATACTTTTAGAACTTTATGGATAATTGAAAAATTGAATAAAACACAGGGTGTTGCATTTGAAATCAGAAAGTTGCCCGCTGTAACATGACACGATCTGTATAAAATATTTTTGTTGGAAAGAATGCGCTTTTGCAAATATCAATTAATTTATCCTATCGTTTTCTCGAAAAGGCCCCCGTTTATTCATTATCGAAAATTTATTCCATTTTACTGATACACACTGTATGTAACGTAAACATAATATGAGCAATATTGAAACAAAATAATTTTATCAGGTAAAATGTATTCCGATTCTAACAACAAAAATAATTCTTCAAGAATGTGAACCTGCTTCAAGGGAAACACCACAATAACACTTGACTTTTCTGTTCTTCAGTAAAAATAACGCTATTTCTATGGGGTGTAGAAGACACATTTCAATGAAAATGAGTTAAAGTACTTCAAGTACTAACCTAAAACAACGCAAACCACATAAGTGGCTCACATGGCGCCCTCTAGAAAATACATTGAAGTTGGTACCAAATTATGATTTCTCATACCCGAAAACCCCTAGTTTCGAAATTTGTATGCATCCATATTCAAAATCGTGATAGTTATTGAGAAAAATAATGTTGAAACCTCAACTTTGACTCTTACTAGCAATAATTTATCAAGGCAACTTGACTTAAATCGTAATGTTTTGAAGTCAAACACCCACCACACTTCTATGTAGGTACAGTTACTCAAGGACCACCCTGTATAGTACAAAGTCTAATAGTTAATATTGAATTGTTACTCACCGAACTATTACTTTGGCTTTTGTTACATTCACTAGCAACCATCAGATTCCTCAACTTCTGCTTGTGCAAATTTGGCATACTCTGACTCTTCACTGTTGTATCCGTGAGTCCCAAATGACTAGCTGCATCTCCTGAGTTATTATTATTACCAGATGGTTGTCTAGGTATATGATCTTCACTACATCTTTTCTTGAGCTTACTCCAGGTGGTGAGACTGCTGGTATCCGAACGAGTCATCGAAGTTTCTAAATTTTTTATATTATTCTTCTGTGCTTTGTCGCTGTGCCACTGAGAACTATTAGTGTTAGGTGCATTCAAATTTGAACTTTTGTCTGGAAAGTAAATAATAAAATAATGTCAACATTTGTTTTGTGATAACTTTGTTGTCATTGATAAGTAGTTTATTATTATACCTACTATATGGGCACAATTGAATCATTACAAATATTCTTTGTTTATTTTTATCTTTTGAAAGAGATAACTCATAACAATATAAGAACTTGTGTTATAAATGGGGAAGCAAATTCTCTCTAGTGCCTCCTGAGAATAATGATAAACATCTGAGGAAATGCATAAATAAGAATGGTCCATTTTATAATCATGCTATTAAGGACTTAAAATAATAAATGAAATCTCATAATTTTCATAAGCAACTTTTAACATTTCTAAAGGCGCTTTTACATAGGCGACCGCAGAAATATTCCTCAAGGGGGGCCTGAATCGAATTCTGTCGACCAGAAAAAACACTGGGTAATATTATGTGAACGAAAATGTGCAACAGGCTAAAATTTTTTCATTGAAGGTCAGGGTAGGTTCTCTATATGAGTACCTATATACCATTATACCTACTCATATTCGTATATAAAATTATGTAGCGAGCATCGGCGAGATGTATAGGCGATCTTAAACTAGTTGGAAAGCAATGTGACGGAAGCTAGCAAATGAAGCTTCACGTTGCAGAAAAAAGTAGATACAAACTAAAATTTTGTAGAATAGACGAATAAAAGTTACGAAAACCACTGATTTGGTCGGACGGAAGGGTATTGATAATGATTGTGTATTATGTTTTTTCTAATTTTGACGTGACACTTTTCAGACCTGACGGAAGTCTTGAAACATCTTATTTTACGTAACCAGTTACATAAAGTGACATATTACATAACTGGTGATGAAATGTTCATTTCAACACCAATTTATTACGTACCTACCTACTAAAAATATGAATAGACGAGAAGAATAGGGCATTTTGTGCTACTACCTCGATATCACTTGGGAAAATAGAACATGAATCAGCCAAGATATCACACGAGTCTATTTCGTGAATTCCGTCGCTGATTTGTGACCATATTATTTTTTGACGGATACATCAATATGACGGGCGGAGTCAATTTGCCTACTAAAGTTTGTACATAATCGGTAGAACTTATGTAGAACTGATCATCATTTTTGTTCAAGCGAAATTTTCGATCAAAATTAGAAAGAATATTGTCCGTACCACGTTAGGAAACACATTTCGGGAAAAAAACTCTTTCAATGTTCAATTTACGAATTAAATATTGTAAAGTTTCGGAGCATCGGCTAGGGATAGTCCTGCACGATTCACTGTTGCGTTCCAATTAACAGTGCTGATCTTAAAGTGGCGCATGGAGTTAGTAACAAAGCCAACAACGAACACACAGGAAGAAATGATGATGATGTGGTTGTGAGCATCAGAGGAGAAGTAGAACGGTGTATGTAGGTGGGTGTGGAAAACTACCAGCTAAGCGTGAGAGCGTACCAATGCTACTTATTGAGCCTCTATAGGTTTATCTAGAATAGCTGGCAGGCCTGCCACTGCAGCATATCGTAGTGAGTACATTACTAGCCTACAAAAAACAACCGAAAAACACTGAAAGATAGCTGATGGACGGTATAGGTACCGGAAAAGGGTGTTAGCCAGCTCTGTTAGGCGAACCACATCACTCATGACACACATGGGGGTTTACAAAATCGCCCCATCAGGGACTAGTTGCCATTTATATTCCAAGGTAGAACACTTTGGATATAGTACGCCAAATAGCATAAATCCTTATCTCAAAAAAGGACACGACATGGGAACCATCAGAGGACGTTCTTCTTGTGTCTTGACATTAAGGACCAATATTATTGAAGAAGTCAGATATGATTGTACAAATCATAGTGTGGGGAAGCGGGAAAAACAGCGAAGATGTCAGAACGAATACCTACTGCTCAACAACGTAAACAACGTAACGCTATGCATACCTACCTGTTTGAATTAATTTCACAAGGAACATTAGCTCCGTAACTGATCATGCATACTCTAATTTTGACATGTTTGTTGAAAAATTACATTTGTTTATCTGAAGATATATTATTTTCAATTTTCTTATACCCTTATGTCCCAGCGTCCTCAATCGAGGACGGCTTTTTTTTCAAATTGAATGAAAAATATTGTGCGCCATGGGCTTTTCACCTCAAAATGCATCTATACAAGGAAAATGAAATGAAAATTCACTACGAGACTAGTTTGGGCCTTAATGGGTTACTAACTCTTTATGTAACGATTCGATAAACAATGTGTTCATAATACTCATATAGAGTTGCCTACTTATGTTGAAGGTAGGATTGAACGGAAGGACCATCGACCAAAATACGATATCTGTTATATAATTTATGGGTATAAGAACTTACTAGTATCATGATAATCGCTATCCTCTGAATACATAGTCACCGATCCTTCGAATGCAATGGTGTAATTGTCCTTATTGGCTTGGCATGTCAACATCATGTCATGGAAATCACAGTCGAGAGAATCAACGCTGAAGTTCACGGGCACAGGTGTATCTTTCACTGGACTGAAAAGAAGTTCGGATTTGCATATCGACATCGAATTCGAGTTCGCTGAACATTCGTCACCCTGTGAACTGCTGTGGGGGCTGATCGAGCTGTCCAAATCAAATTTTGCCATCATTGAACCGGATACACTTGCATAACATTCTCCCTGGCGGTTATTCTGCGAAATTAAAACGAGATCTACTCAGATACAGGTGCGAGCGATATGAAAGTACTGGAGGTATTTTTTTCATTTTAAATCTCTATCAAGAAACTCACAAACAAAATGCTTAGCGATGTGATGAGTCTATATACTTAGTAAGTAAGTTACCTATGTAAGAATGCCAAAGATTTCATTTTCATAAGGAAGTGGTTTGAGGAAGTGGTTAGTCTTCCGGCGGTTGCTAAGGTAGATGTACAGGGTGGCTGGAATTCGAAGCTTATCATTGGGATCGCAAAGTTTCGCAATTTTATGCTGATCAAAATGCCGCCTTAAATATTTGGAAATACCGAATACTTCCGAAGATATTTGAAAAAAAAAACGAATATCCGCAATTTTGTTCTCATTTTTTTGTGACTTTATTTGGAGTGATATGTCAAAATGTGTTTCATATTAGCAATGCCACTTTTTCTGCTCTATCTAATGGCAATAATTGATTCGAGTTCCGACGTTTCGTCTTCGAGGAGCTATCATCAACTTTCTTTTTATAAACGGCCGAAAATGAATTTTTTGTTTCTAACGAACTTTTATTCCAATTCTGAATCCAACGACATATAACACTTCGCACTTATCTTACTTTCCGGTCAAAAAATCATTATCAGTGTTATTTGATGATGGTTACGTGCTGGAAACGAAACGTCGGATCTAAAATCTGATGACGGCAACGTGTAGAAAAGGAAAAATGACTATGGAGATAAATTCATCTTATAGTAAAATCAGAAGAAGATCATTTCTTAGAATTAGAAACTTGGAGAATAACTTTTTATTGAGAACTAAAATAGAGAAAGAGCGAGAGATAGACTAAAATGAGTTCGACATTTTCGCAGTCATTTTTCCTTCTCCTTAAGATGCCGTTGATCCGACGTTTCGTTTCCTCGTAACCATCATCAGATAACAATGATAATGATGTTTTGGTCCGAAACGTTGGAAAATTGCAAAGTCTTATATGTTGTTTGAATCAGAATTGGAATGAGAGTTGTTTAATAACGTACAATTTTTTTCGACCATTTGAAAAAACAAAGTTGATGATGGCTCCGCGAAGACGAAACGTTGGATCATGAATCTATCAATGCCATGCAATAGAGCAGAAAAAGTGGCAATGCAAATTTGATATTCATTTTGACATATCACTCCAAATAATGTCAGAAAAAAATAAAAATGAGATCGCGGATATTCGGTTTGTTTCAAATATCTTCGTAAGTATTTGGAATTAACAAACTTTTAGGGCGACATTTTGATCAGCATCAAATTGTGCAAATTTGTCATTATTTAACGGACCCTGTATATCTTACGGTTTACGAGATCACAATGATGAGCCTCGAATTCACCCTGTACAACCATCATTCTGAAGCTTAAATCAGTCAATCAGTACGCCGCCACGCCGCTGAAGACAGTGGGCTAACGCTAACGTTCTTATATATATCATTATTTTTATAATGCTCAAAATCAAACTACAGGATCACATACAAAATATACCCAAAATATCAAATCAATATTTAGAAGAAAAAATACATATTTTGGCAACTGAGTTGCCATCCTCAGTAGCACTGAAAAAGAAATGAAGATTGGCTGACTTGATAGTATGTTATGCGTATACAGGGTCTTCTAACGAAAACTTCCGACCCACTCCTAAAACAAGAGCACAAAGAACAACGAACCACTGAGTAGGTATATCAAGTAACAGATTTGGTACTCACGTGGAGAAGAAAAAGGCAAAAACATGATTATAATTAGCATGGTAAAACGATTATTGGAACATGTTTATAGTTTCAAATAAAATTTGAAATGAAGTAAACAGGTATGTCATTATTTAAATTGGGGCCCTGTACCCCAGATATTTGCTCAACGGCCCCGTACATTCGGTAGCAGCAAGCAATCACAGAATGATTGAAACAAATCCGACAGAAACATGCTGATGATATTGATAAAATAAATCGATTTTTCCAATGAAAATCTCATATCTCAAAGATGCCAGGCCTGCTCGTTATGATATTCATATGATACAATTGCAGGATTATCAGGATTGAATAGAGGTAAGCCGAAAAACTGAGAGCAATGGTTCGCGTAAAATCAACTGGCATTTTCAAAATATTATCTGTAGGGGAGAGCAGGAGAATGGAATGCCCCCTAAGCTTTTTTTCCATAAGTAGATTATTTTATGGCAATTGATCACAAAAATGAAGGAACAAATATAGACATCTTATTCCTGTTGATGACAATCTGTTGAATATTTGAAAAAAAAAACATTTTTCTTACAGAATAAATAGAAAAAAATGGATTTCTACCATTACCCTAGATAGTTGGGGTAATATTGGCAGATGATCACAATGGCCCCAAATATGTAAATAAGTAATTCGAATGCAATAGTCACAGAGACTAAACATACACCTATTCTCAGCTAACACCACGACCGTAGCCATCTTAACCACGACCTAGGTTCCTGTTAGTATCACTATATATAGTATCAATTTATGTCAGTGCCTGTTACACCATAGTTTATCAGGTATGGTATGGCACTGACGAGATACCTTATCATGTAGATTGTATTCATTATTAAGTACCTACTTGATAAATCTCATAAAAGTTCAAAAATCGAGAAAATATTGAAATTTATTGAATTCATACATTTTTCTTCCTTTTTTCTGTCAGCAGAAGAAGAAGATTGATAATACGTCCTGTCAGTACAAATTTAAATGGAAGTTACCTCTTGACTAAGATGGTCACTACACATTGGCGGTAAGTTCGTCAATAAGGCGTGAATGTCTTCTGTTCTAAAACTCTCCATGTCTGCTTCAGCCAGATTGGCGTCCATGTTTTTTGAAAAAACGTCGTAATACTTGTGGTCTCCGGCTTCGTACGATTCCGGCAGAGAAAGAATGCTGGTGTGATGATTGGTGCCTCCATCTCTGTATCTGGAAGATAATGTATAATATCATATAAAAATCACATAAAGAAGAACGAATGATAATAGTTCTCACTAGATGTGCATGTACTGTTTTAGGTACCTATACGTACCCTACTTACTTCATGAAATGAAATGTCTTTGATACTCTTTCCAGACAATACTTCTATTCATAGACACAATATCAAATGAACTGGATTATTTTGTTTCATTAATTATTGTTTAGAGAGGATGATACATGGAGTTTATCAGTTTACCGAGGAAATGACGTGATGAATGTGTATCTTCACCACTATAAAATGTGTCACCTATATAGGTTTTGTAATAAAATGTTATCTTGATAGCATCGCATGAGTACTACCTGAATATTGTTTTGTACAGTACAGTAGTTGTAGGATAAAATGCATTCATCATATAATATGTGAATTTTAAAACTGGATTGGTCATCGATATCAATCTAGGTGGCCAAAAAAAACCTCCATCATTTGATAGAAACGAATACTGAAAAACCTATTCTAATCAAGAGTTTTTCAATCACCAATAATAATGCACATTCCACAGTTAATATTGATTTTTGCACTGCCTGAATATTTTTCTGATAGTGAACTGTGGTGTTCAGCAACCGTCCGGAATAAAGTACCCACTTGCAGGACGATTTTTCTCTGAGAAAGTACCACTTTTGTGGCCAAGTACGGAAAGTACTTTGTTCCTGAACTATGTAAAACAGAAAAAAATACATCGCTTTCATCGTTACCTACATAATAAATAATATAAATAATACTATGGAAATCTACGTATGGATAACCATATATCAACGAATTAACGTCTAAACCAATTTGACATTCTCACCAAAAAATGTGCCCGCTGTTTTGTTGCGACTAGTGCAATAGAAAATGGAAAGCTGCAGTGAGAGCGAGTCTGAGACTGTTTCTGACGAAATTTCCATTTCAGCAGCAGCTGCTACAACACAATCAAAATACCTACTTTTTGCAAAACTCCTACAGGAAGTAATTTTGCCACGAAAATTGGAAATTGCTAAATCCACCACCCTGTGGTGCTAAAAAGTAGGTATGTACCATTTTAGTCTAGAGTGAAGAACAATATTGTAGAAAGAGCCCCGTTCTAAAACCATCAATATGAATCGGATACCTCACATTCATGTTCTAACTTCAACAACAGACATTTTGGTAAACCAAGCAATTGAAACAAATTGAATTCCTTTCATAATATGCATTGTTGAAATTTTAGGAGAGATCTCAATATAAACAAGGATAAGATTGAATAATTAGATGTAAACTCCATTTCCACAAATGTTCAACAATGGTAGTGAGAAAAACAACTACTTTTCTGGCTAATGCTACGCAAAACATTGAATAATTACATTCTCTCGAAATCTATACGCATACTGATGCAAGTTTTATGGAAAGAAACACTTATTGCATCAGTATTCGTTTGATTTTATGAAAATTTGTGGAAATTACTTTGAGTTTTGTATCTATTTATTTAACAGTTTATTCCACTTTGAGCGTTTCGTAGTTGAAGGATGAGACTATGCATGGTTTTGTAAAGATTATAATGTATAACTTGTTCGATTGTGAATGTACACAACACGCCCTAGTTGTACTGTTTTTTCCAGACTCAATGTTACTGGTTTACTAAGTTGCTAAGTCAAACTGAAGAGTGAGGACTGATGTATATCAACGAAAATGACGTTTCGAAGAAATTTCAATTTAGTAAGTATATGAAGATATGTACGAGGAATTGGGAATACTATCATTTTGAAGGAAACATACAAATATCTAATTAATGACTGATAACTGCATGACAGATAAAAAAAAACACAACCATAATTTCAATATCAAAGAATATTGACTATAATGTCATGAGAAAAATAATATAAAAGTATCAGGAACGGTAAGATTTACTGGTCACAGACATATCAAGGCAGATCATGGTATACACAAGAAACATGGCCTGATTTATGCAGCCAGCGTTGTTTTCTGGGATCCACCTGAATAATTTCCCACCCTCCCTCAACTCCTAATAGAGTGACCATCGAAATTATTATCCGAAAGGCTTACAAAAACAAATTCGAAGTAAGTCTGTTGGTTCTTGGTTTTTATTTTCCAACTATCTGGAGCGAGTCCATTGGCAGTGACCGAAGTTCATCTCAATGAGATTGGCCGAATTAAAGGAATATTCCTAGGAGTCAGCCAGGGCCTCGTCCATGATTGTCATCGAGGTGTTATATAATATTGTTCTTCGGGCCTGGCTACCTCTGAGTTGAATTTGTGATAGTTTTTACTCATGTGTAAAGTACCTACTATGTTTTATTGTTTAATAAATAGAATTCAAACTGTCTCAGGCATGGACGTATAAACAAAGATGTCCATGGTCTCAGGCAATATTGGAGACCTTGCTGTGATCAGTCTCCATACGTTGTCTTGGTTAAGAATGTCAACATTGATAACGTCGTGGTCCAAAATATTGCCTGAATTCAAAATAGAATAAGTTTGTTGTGGCAATATGAAACTTCTGTAATTTCAGATAACATCGCGCTACAGGGTGATAATTGAATGGGTGTAAAATTGCAACGTGGTCGCCACCTTACCGTTTGAACAGATAATTTTTTTTATTTTTTTTTTCTCACCTGTATCCTCTTGATTGATGCTTTCTCTTGAAACTTTTTCGGAATTTTCTAATTCAAAGCTTTGATATTCGTGTTTTTCGATGATTAATTGAATGAAATTGGAAGTTGGAACTCTTTTTCGAATAATCAACGTTGTATGTATAGTCGTAGGATATGTGATTGTGTTCGAACACAGAAAATTCTGAAGAAGTCTATACAAAGTGAGATAAGAAATTCTGAATGATGGAATGGAGGATAACGTAGTCTTCAGTAGATGAAACATAATTTTCTCTGTGTTACTAGTGAAATAATGGAGTGTTACTTCGTCATAAGGATGTCTGGTGTCTGACCTCGAAATGGTTTTGTAATTTTTCGGATCGAAGGTCATATAATGAAGGTACGCATTTTCTTTAAGATAAATTATAAAATTAAAAAAATTACGATTGCAGTTCCAGAAGTATGAAATTTGTATTTATTCTCGACGATGGATATACAAGGTGCGATGAAAACTATGTCCAGATTGTCTCGGGATGGAGAAGATATAATATGTTTAAACGTGATGAAAATCGCTATGTTCCGAAAAAGAAATATAGTGTCGGTAATTGTCGAAAATTGTGAAATATATAAATACATTAACTTTTCATGAGGTTTATACGAGGAAATACGAAAGAGACTGCAGAATTGCCATAGATTCGATAAAATGTTCATCAAAACATCAAATTTCATTCAATTAATCGTCGAAAAAATGAATCATTTCAAATGAATATTCATGACACGATTATCAAAGCTCTGAATTCGAAAATTCCGAAAACGTTTCGAGAAGAAGCATCAATCAAGAGGATACAGGTGAGAAAGACAATTCAAAAAACCATTTGTTTAAACGGTAAGGTGACGACCACGATGCAATTCTACACCCATTCAATTATCACCCTGTAGCGATGTTATCTGAAATTACAGAAGATTTATATTGCCACAACAAACAGTCAAGAGATTAGGCTAATCATCGGTGAAAACCGATTTCAAATTGGTAAGGAAATTCCTGAGTTATTCTATTTTGAATTCAAGCTATATTTTGGAACACGACGTTATCAATGTTGACCAGTTTATTATGTTCGAAATTACTGATTCTTGCCTATTTTAACCTCGCAATTAACTATAGGCGTATATAGTGTAGAAAGAAATGTCTTACCCATAATCGAGAAACCATTGGTAGTCAGAATTGTCCTGGATGAAGTCGATGTCCTGGGATGAGGTGTTACTGAGGTAACTGGCAGAACCGTGATGATTACTATTGCAGTCAGAGTCCGGGCTTCCCCGGACTATGCCCACCTCCGTCATCCCTTTGCCTGCAACAACACAAACAGATCATGACCATGGGTGTTTTCATTGATTGTCGCTTCTGGAAATAATGATGCATGAATAGTACGCCACTGAGAAGATACGAAGTGTCTGACAAGATAGGTCCAGTGGAAAAGCGCTCAAATTCAAATAGCAGCCGGGGCGAGGAATTTTTCTATTATTTAATCCAATTGAATATTGTGAACTATCAGAGCATCAGCTGGAGATTTTCCTGCACGATTCACTGTTGCGTTCCAATTAACATTGCTTCTCCTAAGGTGGCGCATGAAGATAGTAACAAGACCTGCACAGAACACACCATTCTGAACACTGGAAGATCCTTGGTCGAGAACGTGAGTTCTTGGTTTGTACACACGTACATACCAAAACAAAGAGTAGGTATTCTATTATTATGCAGTATCTAAATAATAGGATTAGAAAACACAAAATTATCTCCATAACGTTGAATAATCTAAGATTATTCGGGAAACATGTTTCTGACAAGCATGTGTCCATCGTCAGCTCATAATCCTTACAAAGGTCGTGGAAATGAAAAAAACATCGAGAACAAAATATTGGATAGTTGTGCAAAGCACCGATTAAAGTCGGGTTAAAGGGTCAGGTTCGAGGTCAGGTTATTGTGAAGGGCCCTGTGCCCTTATGAGGCACATAACTAACAGTTTTATGTCGAAGCGGTGGATTCAAATAATTACCTACTCGAAAAGTCTAACCTGCTATCATCATGTGATGAAGGATGAGCGGGAGGATAAGTATGGACTTCTAAATAATATTAGTATATAAATAATTCCATATGTAAACTATGAAAATCATCCATTCTCATGGTGGCCCCACATCAGTATTCATAAATGATTAAATTTTAATTTTTTTCATCTTCTTTGAAATGTTCAATCTCATTAGAGTCAGATTTTTCTGGCTCTTCAGCTGTTTAAAAAAAAATGGTACTGAATCCAACTCATCACGAAGCTTATTATGTTATTTAATTTCAATATTTAATTTGAGATTGAGAGCCGTCAGAGTTGTTTTTTTAGTGTCTTAGAAGTTAATTTTTTTAACTCCTTTAATTTTCTTAACAACGTTAACTCCGAGGTAAACTCCAATATCCCATATCAAGATAAATGCCATTTTTCTCCGATTGGCAGCAAATATTAATTTTGCTGACACATATCAATCAGCAAAGTATTACGTTTCCTGCCTAGGCAGCAAAGTGGTTACTTTGCTGATTGATATGTATCAGCAAAATTAATAATCCATAAATCGTTTATAATTTCCTTCATATTTCATTCGAGACTTCTCCGGCAACAAATTCCGAAACAAATTCAACTCTATATTTTTTGCCACCTCCCTTATTTCTGGAGGTGTAAGTATTTCTAGGTCGCTATCACTGTCCATTATATAATAATTCAAATTTACCGATATTTTTTCGCACAACTGTCAGAATTTTCATGAATTGTCAAACTATAATTATCATGGACAACTGCGATTTCTATCAAATTTCATTTTAATTGAACACTACAGGAAAAATAAAGAGATTGTGGGAATTGTAATAATTTGCAATTACAATATCCTCCTATATCATTATGAACAATCGGAGAAAAAATTATATGTTCAACTCGGTAGCAAAGTAGATTGACTGCCGAGGCTGAATTCATAGCCGAGCGTAGCGAGGCTAGGAATCCAGCTACTACTTTGCTGCCTAGTTAAACAAATATCTATTGCTTCAACATAAGATTATCGAAAAAATTGCCATTATTTTCATCGGTATACCTATGTTTTATGTTCCAGCAAGTACCTACCAGTCTTTAAAACTGAATAATCTTGTATATTCAACGTGTGTGCACAACAAAATTGCCTGGTAATATATCATTCGAGTGATTTACATAATATACCTATATCCATCGGGCAATAAATTGGCAATAATAACAAAAATATCTCTTCCATACGATGATTTTATCTTGTAAGCTGTCCTATCTGGCTCTCACGTTGATTCTCAACATGTTTCTTTATAGTGGCATTTCGCATGGATGGAATAAGGGGCGAGTGCATTTCAACATTCACATTTCATTATTCAAACATTAAGTACTGATGTTGAGGGTAATTAATTGTTTGTGTTAGGTAGGTAGGTACAACAACGTACTTGTGAGGTGAGCTAATATGAGTAATATGGCAGATTTGATAGTATGAGTCAAGCTGATGTTATCAATTGTTGAGATTGTACCGAGATTGTACCTACTTCTGAGACCATGGACTATATTTTACCATCCACATAAAGTGGCAAAATCGAATGACATATCCAACTACCTGAGGCTATGGACATATGCACATTCACTATTCAAGAAAATCTGTGAATAAAATTGTTCTTCATCGCCATCTCACGGCGCAACGGTGCATTTTCGTATAGGGGTTAGTTGATTTCAATCGGCTCAATTTGGTCTCTAGTTCACCCTGTAGAATTTATGGTGCGTTGTTCTGGGCCACCTTGTATTTTTTCTGTGACGGGAAAAAAGTCCGACATCTTATCTCTGTTGACAGGTTGGAAAATTTCATTTTTCATAAATTACTTTCATACCACGGAAAAAAGTGAGTACTTTTTTCCCGGATATACAGGGTGTTGCGAAATTCGACCGACAACGCTTGACAGGTGATAACCCTCATGATTTCATGATAACTGAGATAGGGTCATATGGTCTTCGAGTGTTCAGTTCTCGAGATACAGGGCGTTAAAGTTAAGAAATTAGAATAGTTTTTTCGCAATATCTCGAGAAAAATTAAATATAATGCATTCAGATTCGGTATATGGTTTCATCTTTCTATGGATAATTTTTTGACCAGGAAGACATTCCGAGAATTTCATCCAGAGGTGAGCTACAGAGGGTTGTGATAACTTTTCCTCCCATATTTTCTACGCCACTGATGACATTTCGATTATCTCCAATTTCTCGAATTGATTGTTCAATTATGTTGAAAAAAAAATCACCTTCAACTGAGCTAAAATGAACAGTTATCGAGATATTTGACCCAAAATAGAAGTTTGAATGTATACATTTCCTCCCTCCAACAAGGTGTATCTTGTCTCCTTGTAAAATTTAAAAATTTTGAAGGGGGTTGATCTTTAGGGCAGGAGGTTCACAGGTGGTTGATTTTGTCTGAAACCTATGTCTAGTTGCTTCAGACAGTTGGTTGTTGACGAAAATGCAAAAGTACAGATTTCTCATGAGGTTATAGGTAGGTACTGTTGAATCAATAATGCAGGCTTCACAGGTAGGTACATTTTCAATCAAGAGGGTAACCTCATCCTGTCCTGGCCATCTAATTTGAGAAAGTTAAACTGTTCAGATAAGTTGGGGTACTCACTTTTTCTAGAGCTTCTGGAATTGAGGTCAATATTGATATTCACTTCATATTCATCAAGAACGTCTCTGTTGATTCTTATCACTATGTTCAATGAAAAGTTCATTTTGAGAAACCTCCAATGGTTTGTTAATCTGTGACCTATAGTACTATGTTTGGATTGATTTTACAGTTCAGAAATACATTCCGAATCACCTATACTTACATTCGATGAAAATATAAAATACATCTCTATTTTTATGAAATTTCGAATCGCAATCACAGAAAGTTGCATCGAACATCAGATAAGATAAAAAGATAAGATACCTACATATATTCAAAATTATCATGGAGTACCTATGAGTAGACCTGCAGTCTGGCACGTAGCCAAGCCATTTCTGCTGAATTGTGGAATATTTGTATATAGGGTGTTCCTCAATGCGCAGGACATTTCCAAATGAATGGGCTCATCATGGTATTCAATTTGAAAACATGGATAGTTGATTACTACCATTTATAAAGGCAACATTTATTCTTGTCGCAGTGACTAAAAAAATTTCATCATTTCGAATTGATACTCATATTATGATGGTTGGAGTCTAATCAGGTAATACAGTTTTTTGACAGAAGCGGTGTTTCCTATTCAACCAGGCAGAACATTTTGTACAAAACTGAACAAACCCTTAGGTGCCATCTCTATATCTTTCATTCATTGTCATTCGATATTAGTGATAATAATTTCTATCGGAATATAAGGATTTTTAGATTCTCGAATAGGCTGAGAAATAAATACTTTGCGGAATAGACATTTCGAGTGATTCTCTCTGTATCTACTTGATATTTGAAATCGCTTATAGAATCTACATTTATGTTATGTACAAATTCTGTACAGATGTCAATACGTCAATGATTTCAATTTCACTATAGAATATGATAGATCAGTGAGAGTATTTAACAAATATTCGAGTCGATTCTGTTCGGATCTTGTTATAACATTGCTAAGATAATAATATTGTTATGATCATAACATATAACAATATTGCTATGGACTTCTGAATTCTGTTTGCAGAGTAACTTCAAGACTGGTTATAAGTCCGAGTGATAGCAATATTGTAAAAAATTGAGAATTTTTGATGAGCTGACAACACTGTTTTCAACTCATTGTTTAGGTGTTAGGTATCGATTTTGGCATTATTTCATGAAGAAGAAGAGTTCATGATTATCGTACCTCAAATTAGTCAGTCCTGCACTGACATTTTACAAAATTATATTGTTCAAATCGAGAGATTTTGTATTTGCTGAATCTGGTCGTCGTTGTGCGACTGGTGCAAGTAATCAATCATGTCCCCGAAATGAGAAAACAACTAAAAGCCGGATGAAAATAATCGTGATTTTTTTTCAATATTCTAGCAAAATAGCTTGATAAACTATCCATCAGGCAGCTGAAATTTCTCTGATATGCCGAAATTGTAATCTCATATTTCCTCAACAAATTGGAACTTCAAGCAAGTAGTTGGTCACAGTAGTGAACTTATCCTATATGTTTGTAATCACCATGCCAAGTTTTTCAATAATTCTTCTAAGAATTGAAACTTTGAGGAAAGGTTTTCGAGTAGTCAGTGACACAAACTCAACTCTCATATGTTTTTAATCCACTATTTTCTGAATTTTCATACAGTTGGAAGAATTTGTAGTGCAAAAACAAAGAATCAACTACCTTGTTATAAGATAGCAAGCACAAAATTGATGTTGCCGAGAAAGCAAGAAAGCAGACCAGATGTCGTTGAAATTGACAGATCATATTGCCAAAAATCGATGATTAGAATTCCACTTTTTCTCGAATCTTGCTATGATAGCAATATCTTCCCGACAACCATATTGCTATTTGCAAACAGAATCGACCCGATTGAAGGGGATTTAGATGTCAGCTTTTTATTTTGTATATGTATATACTGCTTGATGTACCCTACACGCATCATACTCAACAGAAGAGCCGTCATGGTCAAGTCATTATTTGTCAACCCTTAACCACGGACAGCCAAATAAAACACACTCAACATTTTTTTGACATAAACAACGTCAATAATAGTTTATTGCGTATCTAGTGTTATTAACGTCCTTTCAGTAAGTATTTTGAACACGAGAGCACCGTTGCGGTGCAAATGTTCAATAAATGGGCGGAGGCAATTTTTCATTCGAGTAACGTAAAAAAGTCACAAGATGTCAATGTTTCTGTTGTTTTCAATGAACAAAATACCAAGTATGTGCTATCATTATATTCCAAATAGAATAACACGCAATTTTCACAGACAATGACAATATACAGGGGGTGAGGGTAGCTATCACAGGGATGTCAAATGGGATACATTTTCTTTATAAATCATTAGGAATGTACTTCAATGTCATTGAGAGCAGTTTTTTCATTTTTCGATTATCTTGTAAAATAAGCGAGATATTGCATGTATACGACTACTTAGTACACCTGGTGTACTGAATTTGTTAGATAGGAAAGTATTTACTTTTCAAATTCCGGTAAGCAGACTCATATTCGTTATAAATACTTATACACATATATATATATATACTTCCCGTCGAGAAAATTTTTAACGCACCTTGTATTTTTATTGCATCGATTCCGAGATCAATTCATGAAATTAGAGAAAGTCATATTTTTGTTGCGGTCGATTTGTGATAGGTAGGTAGGTACTTCATAATAAAGAAGATATTCAAGTACACTAAAAAAAGTGTCTTGGCTTGTTCAATTGTTCAAAATCATTCACCTACATAATTGATATACTCGATGAAAATAATGATTATTCTATACAGGGTCGAGCAATAGTTCGTCGAAGCTCAATTGCTCTTGCTCGAAGTCTACGGTCCATAACCATGACTGAAAACTATTGACACATATCCTAGGACACACCAACAAAAAATGTATAGAGTCAGGGCATATTTTTCAAGCATCCCTGTGACCTCCATCCACCCCTATAAAATCGTTGACGATATCTTCATCATGTCAAAGTTATGATTTCTTTTGTCGAAATAATGTCATCTGCAGATGCATACCGAAAACACTGTGGCTGAAAATGATTTTTTCTACTAGTGTGCGAAAAAGTTCACATTTCCGCACCCATTTGTGCGGAAAAAACTTTCAATACTAAGTGCGAAAAAGGGTTTTTTCCGCACACTAGTAGTAGTAGATAAAATAGTGTACCTAACATGTGAGTAACAGCTATTGTGATAAAGATCATTTGATGAATCAAGATTTAAGATTCATCCCTTCTTCCAAACCGAGTTCTAAACTGATCTACTTTGACACGATGTTCATTGAACAAAAACAGTTCTTTGAACCGTGAAATAATTCGTTATAAAATAAATATGATATTGCGGATTTCTACAATCACTCTCACTGGTAATTTCGAAGGTAATTCCCAGACAATATCTCAAAAGAAACTGAATAGCGTAAACAAATTTCTATTTCCTTTTTAGTTCTTTCGAGTATGGCAACTTAGTTGCAGAACTGAGTATTCTGACTTTTCTGAATATTATTGTGGTATTTTGGGTATACACACATTTCATGTGAGCGATTATGAAATAAATCGGTTATGTAGGACACGCGTCCATTTGCACTTTTAGTCCCGAAATTAGCCAAGGAGTAACATCTTTCAATATGTAGACAGGTTAAGAAAAACTCTGGTATACACTATACATATACCAATATAACGCATACTAGAATAGTAGATTGTTTGATCCGAATGAAACATGCTATTTCTTCTGCAACCGAAGGGATTAACACAAATAAATATGTGAAGTAACCACCAATGCCGTGCCATATGGGGGGGGGGGAGTGTTGATCATAACATCTGGGGTTTGTACTTGAAGATGATTCTTGTGAATACGTTTATGTATGCAATGCAACGAATAATCCGTGTGAATGGTGAGAATATTCTACCTGCATTAACAGATCAGGTTTATTCAATTTTCGAGGATGTTCGAATTGAAGTTTCAATATATATAAATACAATCAGTGACATATTTGTGTAGGGACCAGATGCTCCAATAGCAAATACCGCGCCAGTGCCAGGTATAGGAAAAAAAAACGTGGAAAGTGTTAGGTTAGTTATCATATCAACAATATAATCATAGCGATTATTTCATTCTCCATACGCCACTGTGTTTGGCTCGATGATCAAATGAAGGTAAACAATATCGTTGTTTGGGACAAAAGACTATTGCTGCCAAGAATAACGAATGAAATACAGATTAAGCAAGTATGTGAATCTTGAAGGCTTTCCTGAACAAAACAAAAATACTTGACTATAATAAGGTGTATCTATATCTCCAGCATGGGCATGAAATGCCAAATCTGCCGAAATCGGAAACAAATCAGGTATGCGTCCCAACCCAAATAACCAATCCTAACAATGTTGTTTATTCTTGATGACCTCTTGTACATCCTTTTAGTTTCTAGGAGCTAAAGTTCAACTTTAGCTCCTAGGAACTGAATGTGTTGCCTAGCAACATACCTGTTAGTGTCAGTAATAGAAATGTCAATTTAAGAGCTAATTTTGGTATCAAAATGGACGACTTATGTGTCGGTTGTAGAAAAATAATATTCGGTTCCTCGCAGATCTATCATTTGTCTGGAGGAGATCGAATATTAAAGGTGGCAGGCAAAATATTGAGAATTCATAATCATTGCCCAACCTAGGAAAAACAATCATTCAGTTGACTAATTTACTAAGAATGAGTACCATCATCATTCCACAGATCGATTCCAAGCTATATTTATTTACACACAATACTATATATTAATTGATGAAATATCAGTTATAAACTCCTAATCAATTGAACTGCAACAAGCACATTTCTGCACTAAATTCAACATTGAACATTTTAGCGATAACTGCACATATTCGGATGCGATTTTCTTCATTTCGAAGATAATTCCATAAGATATCAGACCGCTTAAGAAAGAAGAAATTTGAAGGAATATTTTTGGGATTTTTTCAATCCAATTTTCATAATGATCAAGCGTGATTATCGAAATGGTTTGCAATTTTTCCTTATCTCTTCAATAAAAAAAAAAATATTATTCGAAAAATTTGAGAATTCGTATATCATGAAGAGAAATATTTTTTTCTACTCACATAATTAAAATGGCATTCAGCGTACGGATATGTATATGATCGATTAATCACGGATTGTCGATCTTTGTTTTCTTCAAAATATTAAACACGTTACCA